GGGGAGAGGAGCTGTGAGACATGTATTACTGTACGTAAAATAGTTGGCTAGCGGGAAGTTTCTGTATAACGCAGCGCTCAGCCCACTGCTCTGACAGCCGGGAGAGTTGAGATGGGGGTGGGTGGGAGGCAGGATCACGAGGCAGGGTTTCTCTCTGTACCTGTGGCTGAGTCACATTGTTGAGCGGCAGAAACCAACACAGCATTGTAAAGCAGTTATCCTCCAGTTAAAAAGAAACTAAAAAATACTTTATTGCTAAAAAATCCTAACCATCATCTGAGCCTTCAGCGGGTCAGGCTGTAGTGCTGACATCAGAGGTCACTGATTACAGACACCACAACAAATAACAGTATAATGAACAGTCAGAAATATAATGTTCAAATGAACAGTCAGAGTCAGGAACTGAGCAAAGGCTGTTGGGAAAATGGCAGGTAGACTTGCTTGATCCAGAGTTACCACAAATGTGCAACTTGTAAAAAAACCAAAAATGCAGTATCTGCAAGGCCCCTTAAAACGAGGTCGGCCTGTACTCCAGAAAGCCAGTGTTTGTACAGAGAAGAAGGTATTAATATCACAGGTCACATACGTTTGTTTTCAAAATGCAGAAGTTGCCTTTCCCTGGGTGTCACCGTGCCTCAGAGAGCTACCCTGTATTCACAGTAGAATTTCAACACAGAGAAAAATTTAAAGGTAAAAAGATACTTTACACAGACTCAGGAGGGAGAAATTCTTTTGAAAAGTGACTCTGAAGTAGTTGATTTTAACAGGGGTTGTAGCTGTAACTGCTTCTTTAGTGAGTGAAGGGGCCTCTGTGTAATACAAACTTTAGGTATCTTTGTGTTTTTCATAATATGGTCTTTCTAAACCGTCTGGATCTTCCAATTTTATAATTTTTACCCTTACGTTATTTGCCTTTTGACAAATTACTAGTTTATAAATATTGCCTGGATTAGTTGAGACTAATAAGAAGGTGCTAAAACTCAAATCTGGTTATGACTTGTGAGCTGGTGTGACGGTAGGCTTGGTTATTGTGCTTTCGAAGACAGTGAATGCCCTTCTTACTTTTGCTGGTTGCACGGGACCTCTGTCCCAGCTTGCCGAGGGCGCTGCGGCCGGTTTGCTGGGGGTTCGCCAGGAGGCTGAGGGTGACCTGGGCTGCTCTGCCCAGTGTGACCCAGAGCTGCCGACCGGCAGGGACCAGGGCACCCTCAGGAGTGTCCTGCGTCCCCGTTGAGTGTTAGTCAGACACTATCTCCAAATCCATAAACGTTTGAGAAGTGACGCGATGTAGGTGCATCTTTGTTTAAAAGGTAATGCCGAGCGGCCCTGTGGTCTTCACAGTGCTGTGAGGTGTCTGTGCTTCGTGCGGCCTGGTTGGGTGTTGGTGTTAGCCGACTTCAATGTGTAAAGTAGATGATGTGTGGTTTGGGAGTCTGTTATGTGCTTCCCACTTTATGGATTGCAGGAGTGTGGGTGATGAAGAGTCAGCTCTTGGTCACAGTGAGCTACAAGCTGCATGGTTTGAGCGTGATGCAAGTGAGCCTCACTTCTAGTAATTCATTCAGCAGACTACCCGAGTGTGTCCCTTGTGCCAGGGCTGGCAGCGCTCCAGATTACAAACACAAATAAGGTGTTTGTGTCACAGGGAATGAAGTGCAGGGGGAAAGACAGGCGTGTAGACAGATAATTACACTGCCACATGATGAATGCAAAGTAGGTACCCGCATGATGCTATGGAAACGCTGGAGAAGGAATGCTTAATTTTGTCAGTCAATTAGTTGTCAAGGAAACAGACCAAACAGTGTGAATCCAGTTTGTGTCCAAAGGGAAATTTTATGAGTGTCAGAGAAGTGTGCTTGTATAGCCTTTCTAGAGATATTATTTTCCAGTGCAGCTTACACTGCAGGAAAGAAAAAACCTGTTGCCAGAAATGTGGACATTGAGTGGAGTGACCTTTATTATATTATACTGGCTATAGTGTGATAAATGGTGCTGTAAGCCTGGCATGAGCATGCTTCATTCACCAGCAGTGAGGTTCACGCTGGAATGGCCGCATCTGATTGAGTCTATGGATTGTTTATTAATGCAATTTTAGATAGTGGTTTCAACCAGATTCTTCAGATCTTTGAACAGAGCTGAGAAACATCAGAACTAATATTTTTATATTTTTTAATTGAAGGATAATTGCTTTTAGACTTTTGTTGTTTTCTGTCAAGCATCAACATGGATCACCCATAGGTGTACATATGTCCCTCCGTCTTGAACCTCCCTCCCATCTCCCTCCCATCCCACCCCTATAGGTTGATGCAGAGCCTCCGTTTGAGTTCCACGAATCATACATCAGATTCCCATTGGCTGTCTATTTCACATGCGGTAATGTAAGTTTCCACTTTACTCCCTGCATACATCTCACCTTCCCTCCCCTCCCCCCATGCCCATAGATCTGTTCTCTATGTCTGTTTCTCCACTGCTGCCCTGAAAATAAATTCCTCAGTACCATCTTTCTAGATTCCGTATATGTGCGTTAGTAAAAGATATTTATCTTTCTTTCTGACTTACTTCACTCTGAATAATAGGCTCTAGGTTCATCCATTAAGTCATCAGAACTGACTCAGATGTGTTCCTTTTTATGGCTGAGTAATATTCCATTGTGTGTATGAACCACAGCTTCTTTATCCATTCATCTGTCGATAGACATCTAGGTTGCTTCCATATTCTAGCTATGGTAAATAGTGCGGCAGTGAACATTGGGTTACATGTGTCTTTTTCAATTTTGGTTTCCTCAGGGTATATGCATAGGAGTGGGATTGCTGGGTCATATGGTGGTTTTATTCCTAGTTTTTTAAGGAATCTCCATACTGTCTTCCATAGTGGTTATATCAGTTTATATTCCCACCAGCAGTGCAAGAGGGTTCCCTTTTGTCCACACATTCTCTAGCATTTATTGTTTGTAGACTTTTTGATGATGATCATTCTAACTTGTGTGAGGTGGTATCTCATTGTGTTTTTGGTTTTCATTTCTCTGATAATGAGTGATGTTGAGCATCTTTTCATGTGTTTAATAGCCATTTGCATTTCTTCTTTGGAGAAATGTCTGTTGAGGTCTTTTTTCCACTTTTTGATTGGGTTGTTTAATATGTTTATTTTTAATGTTAGTTTTCCTGGTCACCTTCAAATGGAGATTCTGATGAAGGAAAAATCAGTTAAAAGGCAAATCATAATAGGAAAAACAAAGAACAAGCAAATTAATAAATTAGCCTATCATTTGCCCCTTAATAATTTTTAACTTTTTAAAGATAAGTTAGTTGCTAATTTTGGTATTACATTAGTAAATTTCCCATTGTTGATAAATGTTACTGATTATTATTGAACATGAGAAACAGAATATTTGATAAATTACAACTATCTATTTTGGATACATTACTTTTAAAAGTGTGTTTTCAATAGATAATAGAAACATATGGTACAAAATTCAGAAGTACAAAGAAGCTTAAAGTGAAAAGTGAGTTGTCTTCTGGTCATGCATTGCCTTCCTCAGAGGCAACCTCTGGAGCTGGTTTTCTCTGTGTTTCACTTGGAAGCCAGTAAAGTGTGTGTGTGTGGTGTGTGTCGTTTTCTCTGCCACTCATATATAAGCCAGTAAAGTGTGTGTGTGTAGTTTTGTCTGTATTTCATATATAAGCCATTGACATGTGTGTGTGTTCTGTCCATGAGGCAGCCTCTGCGACAGCTCTGAGGGACTGATGCAAAGAGCCAAGATACATGGGAGTTTTTGTGACGAAAACCAGGTCGTCAGAACATCACAAGATTACTGTTGACTAGAGAAAACCAGACCCCTCAAATTAAGGAACGTAGTGCTTCTCTGCGTGTGGAGAGCGAGTGTCTGGGCTCCCATCCTGAGCCCCTGCAGGCGCATGTTGGGCGGGGCCCTCAGGGCTGAGGGCTCGGCAGTGGGCAGCAGCCCGCCCGCCGCGTCTGCCCGGAGGCCCTGGGGCTCCGCAGCGGGGCGCTGACTGCAGCAGCCTTTGTTTGCTCCTGTAGCAGCGGCACGTGTCATTCACAGCACATAGTGTAAGAGGAAACAGTGATGGAACTGCTCACAGCGCGCTGCACCCTGCCTTCCTCATAGAGCAGTCTGTGCTGGAGTTGATTCCGTGCTGTTACATGTAGAACCGTTTTACTTTTTAAATAATGGCTTTGTGGCTGTGTAACTAACATAGCATAATTCGCCATTTAGAGTGTCTGATGTACTGGGTTGAGTGCAGTCACACACTTGTTCCATCATCACTGTGACCCACTTGAGAACATGTATTTTCATCGTCCCAGAAGAAACCCTGGAGCTGTGAGCATTCAGGAGTCCCCATTTCCCTCGGTTGCCGCAGCCGTTCATAGCCTCTCACCTGCCTCCTGGCTGTCCCCAGAAGTGTGCGCTGCTGTGACCGCCGCGCCACTTTACTGCCTGAAGTAGGAGCTGGCGATGTGTTTCATGGGGGCGTGGGAAGCCATGGAGCCTGTGCCCCTCAGTGGGCACTTGCGCTGTTGCTTCTGATCTTCTCTGGTTCAGCTGCTAACACTGACCGTACGCGTGCCATCCAGCCATCTCATCCTCTGTCGTCCCCTTCTCCTCCCACCCTCAGTCTTTCCCAGCATCAGGGTCTTTTCTAATGAGTCAGCCCTTCGCATCAGGCGGCCAGAGTATTCAACGAATGGAAGTGAGGAATTGAATTCTTATTCACGTTTGTATCCGTCCACTTACATTGTGCTAAGAGTTGGACCAAATATTTGGTGGTGAAATATTTTAGTGTTGAGTAACTCTTCATTGAATTAAACTGAATAAAAAATAAGGACTTGAATGTTTGATTATTAGCAGAATTCTGTTTCCTAAAACAAGGTTTATTAATGATCTCAAATTAAATTTCCAGCAGTGAATTTTTTAAATTGAGCAAGTGTTTCTTAGTGTCTACCCTTTTCGACTAAACAGGCATATGTTTCTCTTTCAGGATTCATTCACACAGACATGACGAAAGACTTGAACGAAGAACATTTAAAGAAGAATATCCCTCTGGGAAGGTTTGGAGACGCCCTTGACGTGGCCCAGGCGGTCTTGTTTCTTTTAGAGTCTCCATATGTGACAGGGCACGTCCTGGTGGTGGATGGCGGCCTGCAGCTCACCATATAGCCGACTCCTGTCACTGTTGCTGGAGTCACGGGCAGTCTGTGTTACAGCTGTGTTTGCTAATCCAACCTGCTGATGCTACAGTTGGCTTCTGTCTTCATACAGATACGTCCGTAAAGACAATGTGAGAGCAGCTGTGTTTTCCAAATGACACGTGTCTTCTGGGCAGCATTGGTGTGCAGTCCCTCCTTACAGGGTTACCTCCAGCCCTGGGGGCTTCAGATGTTCCCGCCCCTTATAGAAGAGTGTCCATGTGTCTGTGTAACCTCTGTATACTGCACATCATCTCTGTCGTTGTTCCGTCACTAAGTTGTGTCCGACTCTTTGCAACCCCTCATGCTGTAGCTGGCCAGGCTTCTCTGTCCATGGAATTTTCCCGGCAAGAGTACTGGAGTGGGTTGTCATTTCCTTTTCCAAGGGATCTTCCTGACCCAGGGATCGAACCCTTGTCTCCTCAGTCTCCTGCATTGGGAGGTGGATTCCTTACCACTGTGCACCAGGGAAGCCCAAATCTAAATCATTCTTAGATTACATATAATGCCCAGCACAGTGTAAATGCTGTGTAAATAATTGAAACACAGTGTAAATGCTGTGTAAATAGTTGATTTTTGGAACTTTCAAAAACATAACTTAGAATCTATCCATAGTTGGTTGAACCCATGGATGTGGAAGCCAGATGCAGAGGGCCAAGTGTCTAGACATTTTGCAAGTAATGAAAACAGATGTTGTCTTAATTTATGCATTTTGTTACAAAAGTAGAAAAAAATTACATGATCTGATTGTCATTAGATACTTCATTGTGATAGCTTTTGGTGAACGGTGTTGGATTCGTGATCTCTGAAGATTTAACTTTGGGACCAGGGAGCTGGGTTGATCCCTCAAGAGCTTTTGTGTAACAGAGTTTTATTAAAGTGGAAAGGGACTGAGAAAGCTTCTGACACAGACATCAGAAGGGAGCGGAGAGTGCCCCCTCACTAATGTTAGCAAGGGAGTTATGTACTTTGTAATTAATTATTACAATACATCAAAAGAATTTCACAAGTCTGTGAAAATTTTACCAGACCCACTCCCACAATTTACATTTTAGGATAACGGGATTAGAATTTAACAATAGAAAGATTCTACCAGTCCCACTCCCATAATGTACATTTTAAGATACCAGGATTAGGAAAGGAAGGAGAAACTGTCCTCACGCAGGATACATTATTGTTATATAATCTTTAGAACAGAGTTTAAACTGAGTTGTTTGTTGTGTCATCATCAGTTCTGGGCTTAAGGAAAAAAATGTTTTATGTGACTAAGACTGAGGAATGTAGAGAGAAAATTTTTGTCCTTTCCTCCTCCTTGAGAACCCCAGACCTCTCTCTCTGTGGAGACCCCTGGACTTCTTACCAACCTGCCTAGGCATTGGCTCTCTCAGCTGTATTGGGCCAAATACTCTAGAAGTTAGTGTGGCAGGCCAAGACAGGTGCACCGAAGCAGGAGGACTCGAAGGGTGCCAGGCAGCTGCCTTCGCAAGCCTGCTGGGGCTGACCAGTGTAGCCCTCTGCCCGTCACACAGGCTGAGAAGGACAGTCAGACATGGACCTGACTGTGGAGTCTGGGTTTTTTGAGTGGCACTGCGCCTCTGTGAGCCGCTGGGTGCAACAGACCACACTGGACAGAGGAGTCTGGTGGGTACAGTCCGTGGGGCCGGAACTGGACGCAGCTGAGCGACTGAACAGCAAATGTGGGCGGCTGATGTGTCCTGTGGAAATCTCAGGGGTGCTGTGGTTAACCCTTGGTTTTAGTACCTGGTCCAGCTGTGAGTTGCATAGACCTCATCAGCTTAGGATGTGGAACTGGTGTTTCTTGGGTTGTGGTTTTTTTAAAAATTCCTCAAAACTCTCAATTTAGCTGGCTTCTTAAAAACAGCATAAGAAATAGTGACATTTTAAAAATTAAGAATTTTTGCATTAATATAATTCTTATGTGAAATTTTAGAATAATAATTGTGAACAATCATTAGTAAATATGCAGTAACCATGAGTGCAGTGTCTTTACAAGGAGCAGGTAAAGCATTAGTCTTGAATGCAAATACTTGTCTGAGATTAGAAATGACGAAAATTGTGTGAAAACATCAGATGATACCTATTTTGCATTGATCTCTTGTGAGAATAGCATAATTTTAAATATCACTGGGTTCATGTTGGTTTTTTATTATCGTTTCAAATGTTTTAAATATTTATTGCATTTTAAAAAGTAATCATTTACAGTTTTATCGGAGCTGAACATGATTTTATGTAAACATATTAATTTTACATTGAAAGTTGGTACAAAAGTATGAATAAGATATATGAGATAAATGCAGACTGATAAAAATAAAAATAATAAAGTCAAATCTGTGTTCTAAATCAAGATTCATGATTCCTTTAAAATTCTTTAAAACTGATCCTCAAAATAGTCTTTACTTGGTGAAGTCTATTCAGGAGGTAAACAGGTCAGAAGTTTCTGTTATCAGCCAGGCTGCCTGCTGAGTGTAGACGTGGCAGTGCGGAACAGTGGGTGGGGAAGCAGCAGGCGGTGGTTTCCAGCTCCACAGACAGGACACGCCTTGCCAGCGCCTTGCCCGGGCTGGCTCCCCTCTGGCTCCTCATGAGGCCGCCTTGGCTGGTGGTCAGGAAGGAAGCAGGTACCACTTGAAATAATGACACTGAGGTGTGAGTTACAGGTGGCCTTAACGTTCAGTTGTGTGTTGAGAAATGAGCCCTTTTACACTGTCCCCCGCTCCCGCCGACATGACTGGTGGAGGGTGGAGTGGGGCTGTGAACAGGCAACGGTGAGCCTCGGCCCCAGGCGCTCCCGGCCAGATGCTGCAGCGGGGTGCCGGCTGTCAGTCACTGCAGAGGGGCCAGAGCTTCAGTGACTTGTTAACAAGAAAACTCACGTGCAGGTGTGACCTGGCGCTTGTGTGCCAACAGTCCAGCCTGGGTCGAGGGCTTTTAGAAACTGGTTTACGGTTAAAGCTGCGTTAACATTTTTGCACGGAAGGTTTTTAAATTTGTGCTTGTTTTCTTTTTTTCCCCATAGTCAGTTTTATAAGAGGATTTTAAAGTGCTTTCTAGGAGAAAATTGTATGTTATAAACTTGGGGGTGATGATTTACATGAAGATGATTTAATGCGTATGCTTGTGTTATCTGGAATGAAGCGAGAAGATTATTCTAGAATTTGCGTTATGCCTTACATTGTGGAACATTTTCCCAAGTTTTTAAGACAGAAATATGTGTAAGTTGAAAAGTCATACCACAGCGCTAACTTGAAAAATGTATGATACTTAATAATTTTTAAATTCCTTTTATGTAATTACCATCTTTCAGTTACACTGTAAGCGCCAGAGGGCAGAAACCATATTGTTTCCATTCCTTTGGTTAAATAACTCAGTAAATATTGGTTGAAAACCTACCAAGTGTCCTGTACTTCCGTGGATTCCTCCGCCTCTCCTGCTCAGCCCTGAGAACGGGGTACGTTTCAGAAGTGCACGGATAAATCCTTACATGTTTGATGCAGGGTCAGAGGTCATCAGCTTCCCTGGTGGCTCAGCTGGTGAAGAACCCGCCTGCAATGCGGGATAGCTGGGTTCTGTCCCTGGGTTGGGAGGATCCCCTGGAGAACAGAAAGGCTACTCACTCCAGTATTCTAACCTGGAGAATTTCATGGACTATAGTCCATGGGGTTGCAAAGAGTCGAACATGACTTAGCGACTTTCACGTCACTTCATCGGTCATTACACTATGCTATGTCGGTGCAGTGGGGTGGGTCACTGAAATGCATCTTGTTCTCTCAGTACACATCCTGGAATAGTCTGTCACTCAGCTTCCCTTCTGTATGTATCTCTGATGCTTACTTTCCATTCCTAACAATTCAAATGCTAAGCTCATCAACTGTTATCTCTTAGGCAACAGAAATAACCCAGGGTAATTACCACCAATTTAATTTGGAATCCTTGGACTGATAGTCCAAAGGGGAATGGTATTGGTATCAGCTGGAAAAATTTTTTCCCCCCAAATTTTAAAGCTGTTTCAGCATCCCGGTCCACGTGAATTTTGCTGTGGTAGGGTGAGGTGGAAATGGCAACCCACTCCAGTATTCTTGCCTGGAAAATCCCATGGACAGAGAAGCGATGGGTTCACAAAGAGTCGGACACGACTGAGCGACTTAACTTTCACTTTCTTTCTTTAGGGCAGGGTGAGGAAACTGTGGAGATGTTTTTAGGAAATGTTTCCAGTGATTCAAAGTGTTCATTACTTCGGTGAGTTCCGACTGTATACGCGACACTGTAGTCGTGGGAAGTACAGTGGTGGGAAAAACAAAAACAAACCCGGGTTCCCTGGAGCCCACAGACTGATGTGGTTCGGTCAGGGGCAAGCAGACCTTAAGCCAGTACCAGACGGCAAAGCACAGCTGAGGTGAGCACGTCGGGGCTAGAAGCTCCTGTTCACCGCCACTCCTGCTGGGGACTTGTCCTGTTCTGGCAGGTCAAGAGCGGCTCCTCTGGCAGGACGGCTGAACTGAAAGGGAAGCCTTGTTTAGAGGGAGCAGCATGTAGTCAGCTTGGAGGAGAGGGAAGCTGCTGAGACCACCTCGGTAGCGGTGGTTTAACTGCTCAGTTGTGTACGACTCTTGCGACCCCATTGACTGTAGCCTGCCAGGCTCTGTCCATGGGATTCTCTAGGCAAGACTACCGGAGTGGGTTGCCATGCCCTTCTCCAGAGACCACCTTCAGTTCAGTTCAGTTCAGTTCAGTTGCTCAGTTGTGTCCGACTCTTTGCGACCCTATGAATCGCAGCACGCCCGGCCTCCCTGTCCATCACCAACTCCCGGAGTTCACTCAAACTCATGTCCATCGAGTCGGTGATGCCATCCAGCCATCTCATCCTCTGTCGTCCCCTTCTCCTCCTGCCCCCCATCCCTCCCAGCATCAGGGTCTTTTCCAATGAGTCAACTCTTCACATGAGATGGCCAAAGTATTGGAGTTTCAGCTTCAGCACCAGTCCTTCCAATGAACACCCAGGACTGATCTCCTTCAGGATGGACTGGTTGGATCTCCTTGCAGTCCAAGAGACTCTCAGGAGTCTTCTCCAACACCATAGTTCAAAAGTATCAATTTTTCGGCATTCAGCTTTCTTCACAGTCCAACTCTCACATCCACACATGACCACTAGAAAAACCATAGCCTTGACTAGACAGACCTTTGTTGGCAAAGTAATGTCTCTGCTTTTTAATATGCTGTCTAGGTTGGTCATAACTTTCCTTCCAAGGAGTAAGCACCTTTTAATTTCATGGCTGCAGTCACCATCTGCAGTGATTTTTGGACCACCTTAAGCAGCTGAATTGAGATCATGCAAGTAGCTAAGAGGAGACCTCAAGTGCGCACGCGTTAGGAACGTCCAGGAGGGTGTTGGGAAGAACACCACACACAGCTCATCTATGCATAAATGGTAATGAAGGCATGAAGAGTGTGCCCAGGAGAGGGGTCACAGCGAGGAACTAATGCTGACAACCGCCTATCCGTGTAGCACCTGATACAGGCCACGAGCCCCATGCAGTTCTTGGCTCGGGAGGTGGGGCCTGTGGGGGCCTGGTGAGCCACTTGTAGTTCACAAGGGAGGCGGGGCATGGGGGTGGAGCCAGGCAAACCACAAGATGTTCTCCGCCAGGGAGGCAGGGCCTGGAAGGGGTCGGGGGGAAGGCCAGGCAAGTCACGTGATGTTCTCCACAAGGGAGGTGGGGCCTGGGGGAGCCAGGGGAGTCCAAGGAAGCACCTGAGACTAGCTAGTGGATAGGAGTGATGGGTCAGGATGCCCTGGTTGTGGGAAGGTTTTCTGGAAGGAAGGCATTCTGAGTATCATTTCTGCTGGATACAGTGAGTTGCAAAAAAAAGAGCTAGTAATCCTAAAAGATGATGCTGTTAAAGTGCTGCACTCAATATGCCAGCAAATTTGGAAAACTCAGCAGTGGCCACAGGATTGGAAAAGGTCAGTTTTCATTCCAATACCAAAGAAAGGCAATGCCAAAGAATGTTCAGACTACCACACAATTGCACTCATCTCACAGGCTAGCAAAGTAATGTTTAAAATTCTCCAAGCCAGTATTCAACAGTACATGAATTGTGAACTGCCAGATGTTCAAGCTGGTTTTAGAAAAGGCAGAGGAAGCAGAGATCAAATTGCCAACATCTGTTGGGTCATTGGAAAAGCAAGAGAATTCCAGAAAAACATCTGCTTTATTAACTACACCAAAGCCTTTGGTTGTGTAGATCACAATAAACTGGAAAATTTTTAAAGAGATGGGAATACCACACCACCTGACCTGCCTCCTGAGATATCTGTATGCAGGTCAAGAAGCAACAGTTAGAACCAGAACAACAGACTGGTTCCACATTGGGAAAGGAGTACTCAAGGTCGTATATTGTCACCCTGCTTATTTAACTTATATGCAGAGGACAACATGAGAAGTGCTGGGCGGGATGAAGCACAAGCTGGAATCAAGATTGCGGGAGAAATATCAATAACCTCAGATGTGCAGAGGATACCACCCATATGGCAGAAAGTGAAGAACTAAAGAGCCTCTTGATGAAAGTGAAAGAGGAGAGTGAAAAAGTGTGCTTAAAATTAAACATTCAAAAAAGGAAGATCATGACATCTGGTCCCATCACTTCATGGCAAATAAAAGGGGAAACAGTGGAAACAGTGACAGACTTTATTTTGGGGGGCTCCAAAATCACTGCAGATGGTGACTGCACCCATGAAATTAAAAGCTGCTTGCTCCTTGGAAAAAAAGCTGTAACCAACCTAGACAGCATATTAAAAAGCTTAACCTTAACTTTGCCAACCAAGGTTCATCTAGTCAAAGCTATGGTTTTTCCAGTGGTCATGTATGGATGTGAGAGTTGGACTATAAAGAAAGCTGAGCGCCAAATAATTGATGCTTTTGAACTGTGGTGTTGGAGACGACTCCTGAGAGTTCCTTGGACTGCAAGGTGATCCAACCAGTCCATCCCAGGGGAGATCAGTCCTGAATATTCGTTGGAAGGCCTGATGCTGAAGCTGAAACTCCAATACTTTGGCTCCTGATGTGAAGAACTGACTCATTGAAAAAGACCCTGATGCTGGGAAAGATTGAAGGCGGGAAAAGAAGGGAACGACGGACGATGAGATGGTTAGATGGCATCATCAACTCAATGGACGTGAGTTTGAACAAGCTCCCAGAGTTGGTGATGGACAGGGAAGCCTGGCGTGCTGCAGTCCATGAGGTCACAGAGTTGGCTATGACTCAGCGACTGAACTGAGTGATGCAGGAGTCTTTGAATCCTTGAACAAGAGTGAATTTGTGAGCTGGTGGGTTCAGCAGGCAAAGCTTGTGAGGGAAGAAATTAAATTTGGGACTTTAACTCACATTACAAACCTCGGTGCCCTGTGGGAAAAAGCCCTAAATGTCCACATGTTTAGCAGAAAGTGCATTTGAGCCCAGGACACTGCGGGCGTTTGTCCCCATGGAGCTGTGTCCCCAGGTGCTCCCACCATGGCCGATGGCCCTGAGCACTTACTCCTGGACAGCCTATGAACAGACGGCATCTGGAGGCTCAGACCTGTGCCGTTCGAGGCTCACCTGTCCACTGGTGGACACTTTTCAGACCCTGCAATGTGGCAGGAGTTCTTAAACACAAAAAGAAAGGGTTGGTTAAACTGTGTTAACATTAAGACCCTCCTCTGTTATAGCAAAACACCTTAAAAATAGTTTTAAAAAAAAAAGGCTGATTACAGAGAGGATTTTATGCAACACAGATAACTTACGAAGAGTATCCAATGAATGACAAATCATAATAACACAGTGGGGAAATGGACAAAAGATACAAAATGGGAATTTTACAGAAAAGGCAACATAGCCAACAGGTATTGAACATTAATTTCAAACCAATTAGCGGTATGCAAATCAAGACCATGCTCAGAGTTCACTTGACATTCAAGTGGCAAAAATAATCCCTGATCTTTAAGGGATTCATATTAAAATTTGAGAAACCCTGCTCCATATCACTGGAATTATCAGTCTTTTTTTTGAACATCGAATGATCTTTTAACATTGCAGCTCCTGACTCAGCAGATCTGTACAGAGTCTGTGAAGCTACATTTCTAATAAATTTCTAAATTGATGCTGATGGTCTATGGACCACAGTTCCACTTGCCAGGTTGTGAAGGCTGTAGACCAACAGGGTCTGTTAAATGTCACATTGCTGTTGGGAGTATAAATTGGGACATTTGGGAAAATGGGCAGGTAACCTGTAAAGTGAGGACGTAACCCTACTGTTAACTGGTCAATTCTTGTACTTGTGTACCAGGAGATGTGTATGTAGCAGAACCTGGCAGGTCTCTACCCAGATTTCCTTGGAACTCTTGCCATTTTTAAAAAATTGCAATATTAGTCTTGGTATTGCTGTCTTTCATTCCCATGGCAAACCACCTTTTTGTGCCTTTGTTGACAGGGAGCCCTGGGGATGTGCCTGCCGACAGAAGGCCTGAGGTTTTGTGTCCCTGGGGGCAGACGCTGACTGGCATTCTGCACTTTTTGCATGCATGTTCAGTCATGTCAATTCCGTGTGAGCCCGTGGACTCCAGCCCGCCAGGCTCCTCTGTCCATGGGATTCTCCAGGCAAGAACACTGGAGTGGGGTGCGTGCCCGTCTCCAGGGATTCACTGCTATGCCCGTCTCTTCCCCACCCCTCCCCTGATGGGACAGCTTGAAGCTATGATTGTGTGTCTTTAAGTTTCCCACATTTGATTCAAACATGGTTACCTTCTATAGGACTTTGCTTAATATCACACTCTTACTTGAGTTCCTTTGTCCTTTCCCATTCTGATACAGGTTTTCCCTGGTTATACGCTTTCTTTCTTTTTAACATGCTCTTTGTTGTTGCTGTTCAGTCACTAAGTTGTGTCCAACTCTTGCAACCCCATGGACTGCAGCATGCCAGGCTTCCCCGCACTTCACCATCTCCTGGAGTTTGCTCAAACTCACATCCCTTGAGTCGGTGATGCCATCCAACCATCTCATCCTCTGCCGCCCCCTTCTGCTGCCCTCAATCTTTCCCAGCATCAGGGTCTTTTCCAATGAGTTGGCTCTTCACGTCAGGGGGCCAAGTATGGGAGCTTCAGCATCAGTGCTTCCAGTGAACACGCAGGGCATTGACGGTCCCCTCCTGTTATTCAAGGCATAACGTGGGCTACGTCTCTCTACAGGGCTTCCCGAGTGGCCCAGTGGTAAGAGTCACCTGCCAAGGTAGGAGACGGGTTCAGTCCCTGGGTCGGGAAGATCCCCTGGAGGAGGAAATGGCAACCCACTCCAGCATTCTTGCCTGGGAAATCCCATGGACAGAGGAGCCTGGTGGGCTGCAGTCCATGGCATCACAAAAGGGTCAGACACAACTTAGCGACTAAATAAACTTAACGGCCACAAGGTGAGAACATTACTTCATGCCCCACTTTTTTTAAAATTGTAATTTCATTTGCATTTTATATTGGAGTAGAGTTGATCTCCATTGTTGTATTTCTTTGAGGTGTATAGGACCTGACTGAGTTATACATAACTTGTAACTATTGTTTGGGGGGGGTTCTAATTCCCACAAATGTTGTGACAGTAGGTTTAGTAGAGTTCCCTGTGCTATTAAGTAAGTTCTTTTTAATTATCTGTTTGATATAAGTCAGTGTGTATATGTTTACCTCAAAATCTCATTTTATCCCTGGCCCCTACCATTCAAAAAAATTAAAAGTTGTATCCTGTGTATGTCGGTCTGCCTATGTTTTCTCAGTCAGTTCCTCTGTGTGAATGCACAGGTTCGCTGTGTGCGTGGCACTCGACGCTGTTCTTTCTTCTCTGCCTGACTTCACTTAGTCTGGTCGTCTCTCGGCCCGCCCTTGCTGCCGTCAGTCACACTGTGTCCCTGTTTTATAGCTGAGTCGTGTTCCACTTCAGAGTCGTACCATTTCGTCTTCCTTTTTCTCCAGATGGACATCTTGGTGGATTCTGTGTCTTGACTGTGGTAAATAGTGGTGCCATGAAAATAGGGATGTGCCTGTCATTTCGAGTTATGATTTTCACCGGGTCTCAGCATCACAGCAGTGAGATGAGTGGATCACATGGTCCCTCTATGTTTTGTTTCTTAAAGAAACCCCGTAATGTCTGCTTGTGGCTGCCCCTATTTCCATCCCCAGCAAGAGTGAAGGAGGATTCCCTTTTCTGGACGTCCCAGGCAGCACTTATTCTGTGTACCTCTCTCAGATGGTGGCTGTTCTGATGGTTGGGAGGAGTTGGCACCTCACAGCGGAGATTTGCCTTGATTTACCAATGAGTGATGTGGACTATCTTCCTATGTGCTTTTGTAAGTCGTACAGTGAGAGTCCCATTTACCTGTTGAAGCTGACTTCTTGTAAGTCGGCCCTGTTTTGAGTTCTTCTCTGATGATCCCAGGACATTCCTTGAGGGCAGGAGTCCCTTACAGCCCCAGAAGCCTTGTGAACACGAAGAGCCCATGAGCACCGGCTTTCAAGTGGTTGTAACGAAAAGTCGCCACAAGGGGGGCAGCATTTCTCCCTGCCCCACTGCGGTTCCTCCAGCGAGCACAGCCTCGGGGAAAGACTCTTCCCAGGTTGTCCATGGGAGTGCCGTGCGCAGAAGAAACACCCAACGCTTGTGTATCGCTGCATCTTCCCTGGAGCCATCCCCCTTGGGCACATCCCAACGCCTGCAGCATCCCCCTGCTGAGGGGTGCGGTCACCCACAGGAGGGGGGTGAGCGCTATGGAAGGCGGGCGCGGTCACCCACAGGAGGGGGGTGAGCGCTATGGAAGGTGGGTGGAAGCGGGGACGCGCCCCTGCTTCCCGAGGAGCCACGGGAGCCAGGGGACGCCTCACTGCTCCTCCCGCCCGAAGGCCCCCTGTTGGCTTGGGTTTTGAGGCAGGAGTCCCGCCTGGTCTGGAGATGGTGGACTCCTGCACGGTCCCCGGGCATGGGGCTGACTGGCTGGCAAGTCCTCTCCAGCTCCCTGGGACCCGGGCCTGCTCCGCCTGCAAGGGTGATGGACAGCCCGCCAAGTCCCCGAGGCCTGAGGGGAGTACAGTGGGCGTTTTGTTTCCATGTTCATTCTGGACGTGCGTCTAGGTAACCGGCAGTGCTGTGGGCTCTCTTTTGGGTTTCTTTGCGCCTATTTTGTTTCCTAACTGGGTGTCCAGCACCCTCCTTCCCTTACCCACAGAAGTACCCGAGTTCTTTTCTGGCTGTCTTCCAATGTGGGCTGTTATAATAGTGTGTTAGTCACGTTTCCTTGTGCTCCAGGGTGGGCCCATGTTGGACATTTATGAGTCGTGTTTCTATGTTCCTGGGAACCAGAAAATTTGTCTCCACCCTGCACTTTCCCGTTGGTAACCCTCTGCTCCCCTTTGCAGCCCGTGAGGCTGTTTGTCTTTTGGAAATGAGTCCTTCCATACCACGTCTCGATTCCAAGTCGAATGGATACGTCAGCTTTTGGTCCCTGTGTCCTTCCTTCACTTTGTACAATCCCGTCTGCTCTCCTCCCTATGGCCTGAAGTTGCACAATGTTTTCCCTGTTCATGGCTGAGTCATACTGCTCTGTGTGTATGTCCTCCATCTTCTGTATCCATTCATGCAGATGGATACAGACTTCCTTCAGGGAAAAGTCCCTTCCTGGGTTTTCAGTGAGAGTGCAGTGTGCTGGAAGAAGAACCCAAAGCCTGTGTGTCCTTATCTGGTTGTCTTCTGGTATGGGTTGTTAGAGACTTTTGAATAGGGTTTCCATGTTCTATAGAGTTGAGGCAGGAGGGTTTGACTTAGGATCCTGCAGATCTTGTGAATTTGATTTGCTTAAGAGCATCTTTTTTTTAAAAGTTGTAGTTCCCCCAAACTGCCACAAGGCAACGGCATTTCTGCATGCCACACTTTTTTTTGCCCCCATAATTTCATTTGTCTTTTATATTGGAGTAGAGTTGGCCTCCAATGTTGTTTCTCCTAGGTGTACAGGAACTTGATTTTGGTATACAGACACATACATTATTGTTTTGGGAGTTCTAATTCCCACATATGTATTACAGCAGGTTTAGTAGACTTGTTTGCAATTTGGTAGGTCTTTTGTGATTATCTGTTGGATATATGTTACTTTGCATAGGTTTATCTTTTTTTAAAATCATAGTTTGGTTTTCCATGTCTATAAGTTTGTTCTGTTTTGTAAATTCGCTCATTTGTCTGAATTCATAAACTGTATGTTCCACTGCTGTTTTATGATGGTAGTCTTTGTCTGCCTGACTTCAGCAAATATGATACTATCTCGGTCTGTTCATGATGTGTCTGTTTTACAGCTGAGTGGTGTCCCAGTGAGCAGTTGTACCATGAAGTCTTTTTCTCTGGGTGGATAGTCTGGTGGATTCTACGTCTTGAGTGTTTTTAACAGCAGTGCTGAGAAAATGGGGAGAAAATGGGGTGAAAATGTCAGTTCGGATGATGACTCTCTGGGGGTGTCGGCACAGGAGTGGAGTTCCTGGGCCCTGCACCTGTGTCTAGTTTCGTAAAGAACCTCCATGCTGTTCTCATTGTGGCTGCACCAGTTCCCACCCCGCCTGGAATAGCGGGTGTGTGCCCTCCGTGTCAGAGGGCCTTGCGGGCCTGCCCGTGCGAGGGCACAGCTCACTGGACGTCGGCTCTGCCCTTCTGGCGTGATGAACGCTGCTGAGCATGTGCCTTGTGGTCCCATGTATGCGTCCTCTGGGAAATCTAGATTTATACACATACACAAACGCCTATATTCATGTATTTTTAACAGAGCAGCAATAGTTGTGTATATGTCAATGCCAGTCTCTAAATTCCTCCCACCCCGCTCCATTCCCCCTTGGTACCCACACACGTGTTCACCACCTGTTTCTATTTCGGGTTGGAAGTAAGGTTACCTATGTCATTTTTTAGATTTCCCATGTGCACGTTAGTATGGTGTTTGTGTTTCTGACTTTCTTCACTCATTAGGTGACCGTCTCTAGGTCCAGCCAAGTCTCCACAAATGGCACAGCTTCAGGCCGACCATCCCTCGGGGTCTGTGCGCTTCTCCACTGACTGGCTCTGCCGCTTTCCATGCCATGGACGAGTGTGCAGCCTTTTAGGACGGATTTCTGTGTTTGTACTCGTAACTCTTGTGACAGAAACTCTCATTTGCTTTCAAAGCTGAGTGTCTGGTGCTGGACTCAGTGCTGAATAGTTGGGGTCACTCCCCAGTGAAGCTGGGGGTTGGCTCCCTCCTGATGTGGGTCACTGTGCCAGGCAGTGGGATTTACCATGAGGCCCTGACGTGGTGTTTGCTCATTCACCTGAGGTCACTTTAGAGGAAACTTTTGTGCATGCAGCAGGAGCTCTGGTGTGTCTGCGGGGAGGAGTGTGTTCAGCATCTCGTATTGACGTCCCGAGCCACAGCACCGTGCATGCAGTTCCTGAGAGGTGATGGTTAAGTGGTGCGAAGGTGCCCCCTGTGGGGTCACAGAAACTGGTGTCATGCACGTATCAGGTAAAGTGCTGAAGCGGGCGCGGTTTTGAGAGGGTTCCCAAGGCCCCTCCCTGGTGCCCACCTTCCTTCTCCCCCAGACCACATCCAGGCTGTGTGGACGGGACTTTGCAGATCCCGCATCTGGTGGTCCCTTAAAGTATGGGTTCTTCCCGACAAGAGTTATTGTGTGTGAGGATGTGCGCCGAGGGTCTCGTGCTGGGCGTGGGGGCGCCATGCCAAAGGGTGCGGGTGGCCCGTGGGGGCGGAGCGGCCCTTGCTGACAGGCACCATGAGCCCTGTCCAGTGGCCGCGTGGAGTCGGATCCTGTCCTCGTTTCCTGCACCCAGGAGAATGCAGTGCAGTTACCAGTGGGTTTAGTCTGCACGGTTCATGAAGGCTGTGAGAGAAACCAAACCACCGACCACGTGCTTCACAAAACTGCAGCTCTTATTTGTTAAATATTTATTGTTGTTAAATCCACATTACACCAGCACAACAATCCAAAGTAGTAAGATAGTACTTATTGTTTTTATAAATACATGAAAGGTGGCAAAATAACGCTGCTTAATCCCAAACCCAGCAAATTAGCAAAATGTCACATTCGGGAAAATTTGGCAAGTACGAGAAGACATCAGTCGTAATTCTGCAAGACAGAGAGGTCCAGGAGAGCCTCGCGTGCCAGTCTGCAGGCATCAGCGCTCACACTGGGCACGCAGAGCTTGCTTGGCGTGTCGAGAAGGACGTGGAGAGCTGTGCATGTGAAGCAGTGAAGTGGGCTACACAGGGTGGCACACAGGTACAAAATCATTAAAAAACACTACGTATCGAGTAACTGAGCTAAGAGAGTTTGCCATCTTTATCATAAATAATGAGAGATAAATGTGTTTTGCATAAGGAATACAGTGTGTTCTCTTCATAGCAAAGTACCATTATCATATCATAGCAGGCCCCATTTTCTCGTGTTTAAAGTTGACTGGTTCCAACTTAAAACCGTCAAGCCTGGTCAGAATCCACTCCGTCCAGCTGACCAGAGTCAGGGGCACCGGAGACGGCCTTGGGATGACTGGGAGCCCAGCACCTTCTTCAGTCAGGAGAAATTACGCTCCCACCCGCCGTGCGGGCGCCGTGGAGAACACGCACCCTGGTGCCCACCTCCTCTGGCTCAGTCTCATGCCCCCAGCAGACTAGTGCCCACAGGCTGCCTCCGACCCGTGACGACCTCGCTGCTCAGCCCATTACCAACTTGCTCTGTGCATCCCACCTCCAGCTCTGACCCTGCAGTGTCCCCAGGGCCCCCACCGCTGGAGCCCCAGCTTCTTGACTCAGGAACGGCAGCGTCGTGGATGCAATCTGGAGAACCAAGGGAAGCCTGGCCTCCACTGGCTAGCGCCCCTGCCACCTGCGTGGACACCGTCACCATGCGCCGTGCATTTCTCCCCCTCCCCTCCGCTCCTCCCTGGACCCTCACCCCCGACACACCCCGCCTGCCGTGGTCACTTGGGTGGTTGACGCCCTCCGTGGAATGGTCTGTGGTCTGCTTCTGCTTTCCTCAGAGTACATTACGCATTTCAGTATGTAAGCTCCCTACCAAGGCAACACAAAAGGAAAATACGCATAAAGAAAAAGCTAACAACGAAGGTTTTAACCTTGATAGAAACTCAGGATGTTGCCAGAACTGCAGGCAAGTGGTTCCTTCGTACGACTTAGTAGAAAATGGTTTGCACAGACAAGGCACTTGCGTGGATTTCTTGGTCATGCCCTCCTGCTGCCCGCACGGGGTCACCGGTGGCGGGAACACACTGCCCGGCCATGCCCTCCTGCTGTGGGGCTGCCTCCGGGAAGCCCCCGTGCTCACGCGGAGTGGCAGCACTGCACCAGTGTTGAAGGCACTTGGGACAACACGGAGCGGGGTCACGTTTCCGTGAGGGCTTTGGCATTTCAGACCCCTTGAATCACAGCAATTTCTGGAGTCTGAATTGGCTGATGAGTGTGAATTCTGTGCAAGGTGTGCATCTACTGGCATCGTGTGCGCAGCCTCTGGTTTGGTTTATGGGAAGAAAAGCAGAGTTGAGGTGCCCTTTTGTCTCTCGGAGTCGAGGTGCACTTGCGTCCCGCGGCAGGAGGCGGGTCTGGGCAGCGTGGTCTGGGTCTGTGCTCCCGCGAGGGTGCCGGTCACAGGTCCTCGCTCTCCACCAGGCCGGGGCTCAGCGCGAGCGGGGACGGGCCGGCCTCGGGCTGGAACGCCGCTCGGATGTCCAGGCCCTGGTCGGAGAGCGCGGCGTAGCGGCTGGCCGACGGCCGCACCCGCTTCGGCTTGGCGCTCGGCGGCGGCTGCTGCCACTGGGCTGCAAGACACCCGAGCACGCGCAGGTGAGGGGCTGTGGCGGGGCCAGGCGCATGCTCGCAGCATACCCCACACGCCCCCGAGGAGGCCTGAGAGGCCTGCACACCCTTGTCATGGAGCGCTGTCTACATGGGCTGTGCAGACTGCAGGGGTAACACAGAAAGTGCAGTTCACCGCACCGTCACTACTCGCTGCAGCTTGGGGAATCCTCAGTAATGGCCACTGAGCTTCCTAGCTCCCTTTTAAGAAAAATCTTCAAAGCTCACAGGTAGGCATGCCACAGTAGCGGCAGTCGTCAGGAATTCTGGATGCGCTGGGGAGGGGGGCCTGGCTGAGGTCACAGTTACTGAAGCATTTCACGGAGGTATTTCTTAATTCAGAAATCAGTTCTGAATTTTTCCTCAGGGCTTACTTGTCAGAGTGCTACTGTGACAGAGGGATACTGACCTAGTCTGTCAACTCAAAAGGGCCGATTTTTTAAAATCAGGGATGCATGTACACAAGGAGACACACACAAACACACAAGCCTACTGCCAAACTACTTCAGACACACACAAACACACACACACACACACACACACGCACACACACGAAGCGCTCAGCCCTGGGAAACACTCCCGCCAGCATCAGTGGGCCCCGCTCAGAGCGAGACCCTGATGGGTCAGGACACAGGAGGAACGTTAAAGGCGGTCCCATGCACCATGCGGTAATGGGATGGACACGTCCGTGACTATGCCTGCGCCTAGTGTTAACTCCTAGAGGCGCGGGGGAGAAGGCACAGCTGGGGAGCCCACGCCACAGAAGCAGAGGCACATGCGGCACTGTGACACACAGCTTCTGAGCGATACTTGGGCACTGTTCTCCTGGCGAGGGTCACTATTACTGTCGGAAAACTACAAACAGAAAGAGAAAGAGCACGATGAAGTCTCAGCTGTGGGACGCTCTGGGGCCGCGTGGGACAGATCAGTCTGCGGTGCGGACCCGGAGGCCTCGGGAGCCCAGCACGGGGAGGCACTTACTGTACACGTCGAGTCGGGCCGTGCAGGACACGATCCCGGCCTCGTTCTTGGCCGACACCGTGTACCAGCCCGCGTCGTCCTTCGTGGCGCCCTGGATGAGCAGGCACACGTAGCCGTGGTGGTCCTGGTGCATGCTGCAGGAGAGGGCCTGCTGTGAGGGCTGCGGCCTCTCCAGTGGGTGAGCATGGAGCCTGCAGGCTCTGCCCACACCCCCCCGGGCAGGCGGGTTACCCTCCCGTGTCTGGGGCACAGGTGAGCCCTCACAAAGCGCCGCGGGTGGGGCTGGGAGGCCCGCACTGCCCCTGCACCCCGGGGTGGCCGGCGCCCCACAGGGGTGAGCGCTGCTGCCTCAGGACCCGCAGACCCTGCGGCGGGCAGGGCCAGGCACTCACCTCACGCGGTCCGTGCTGTGGGTCAGAGACTCGTTCTCCTTCTTCCAGAATATCTGTGGTGGGGGTGCCCCCGAGACCCGGCACTCCAAGCGCACGGGGTAGCCGTCCGCCACGCCCGTGTTCTGCAGCTTCTCCAGAAAGACTGGAGGCTTGTGCGCTTCCTTAGCTGGAAGACAGGAGAGCGGTGTCCTGCCCGGGAGACGCGGGCAGCGCCACGGAGCCCGCAGCTGCCCTCAGCGACGCGGGGCGAGAGGCCTGTCCTCTGCCAAGGGTCTTTCACCGGGAGGGAGCCCGTGCTCACCCCACACCCCCTGTTCCTCTGTGGGGCGGAGGCTGCGCCCGCCCCACAGCGCCTGCCTGCTGGTCTCGGGGCCTCCCGCAGGCTGGCAGTCGACTAACAAGGGTGCTGCGCTTCCTTAGTCCGCCGCTGCCCCCGGCGACACTGAGGCCCGCCCGCTGGGGTCAGATCCGTGAGCTTCCTGCCCTGCTGGCTGGGAGGTGCTGAGGACTTCTAGGCCCTGCTGCAGGGAGACGGCACTGCACGGGCGGGCAGGGGAAAGGCTTTCAGTGGGCGCCTGACGACTAGCAAAGAGGACTGCACCACGGGTCCTGCCGGCATTCTCGGCAGCAGGGAGTCAGAAGGCTTTGTCAGTATCACCCGCACTCTGCCCTCTGTGTCGCCTAGGGTCTGCGGCGGAGACCAGCGCGGACGGGTGTGGCCTTGTGATCATCGCGCAGCTGCCAGCAAGAGGGAGAGCATCCGGCCTTCTCCCCGCCCTCCTCAGGGACAGACACATCAAGGCAAAGGCTCTACCCCAGGCCTGTAAATAACGAGGACCCTGTCTGACCTTAAATTATGTAGGGAGCTAATTTTTACTGGACTTTTTCACCTGAGCTACTCTGGGGGACGCAGGTGGTGGGAGCAAACCTCACTTAGCTTTCTTTCTGGGCCTTTGCTTTCGTAAAGAGGATAATGATGGACGGACCTTCACGTCACAACAGCAGACAGCTGCATTCAGAGGCTGTGCTGGGCAGGGCACGGGGACGCAATACTTCATGGGAGTTCATCCTTGGGAAATGATTCAGTCCTTAATCTGTGAGCATCACGGCCCATTTACAGCAGGGAGAGTGAGCAGCAGTGATGGGCCGGCCAGAGGAGATAGCCAGGAGACAGGACTGAGCCCTGACTTCTCTCATAAGTGCCAACGGGACAGCTCGGGCCCGAGGACAGGCATGGTAAGCTACACAGCAGTGAGCAGCAGTGATGGGCCGGCCAGAGGAGATAGCCAGGAGACGAGGACTGAGCCCTGACTTATGTCATAAGTGCCAACGGGACAGCTCGGGCCCGAGGACGGGCATGGTAAACTACACAGCAGTGAGCAGCAGTGATGGGCCGGCCAGAGGAGATAGCCAGGAGACGAGGACTGAGCCCTGACTTCTCTCATAAGTGCCAACGGGACAGCTCGGGCCCGAGGACGGGCATGGTAAACTTCTCTCATAAGTGCCAACGGGACAGCTCGGGCCCGAGGACAGGCATGGTAAACTTCTCTCATAAGTGCCAACGGGACAGCTCGGGCCCGAGGACGGGCATGGTAAACTTCTCTCATAAGTGCCAACGGGACAGCTCGGGCCCGAGGACAGGCATGGTAAACTACACAGCAGTGAGCAGCAGGGGCTGGAAGAGGGAGTGAAACTGGACACAGACCACGAGCTGACCGCACGCCTGTGTGCACGCGTCCAGCTGCTGTCAGCAGGATCCTCAGGAGGAGGCGCCCAGTGTCCGCACTGCGCGCTGCCTCTACCGAGAGCGCGGGGCTCTCGGGCCTGGAGGGAGACCAGAGATGGGATGGACCCAACTACACAACCAGGGGAGGGTGTGGTCTCCACAGATCCCACCTCTGGGAAACAAGGAAGAAACCAGCTGATGTGCTGAGGACCAGGTGAGGTCAGGCACAGCGCTCTGCAGACAGAGGAGGGACAGACGCAGCACAGGCTCTACACGCCTTCTGGAGGGCTCTGCATGCAGCGGTGAGAGACGGACATAACGCACACTCTCCACTCCTGTGGATTCTCTAAACATCTTCACACACTCGTTTTCCTTAGCTCAAGTAAAAAAGTTTATCATCCAGGTCTCCTGCATTGCAGGCGATTCTTTACCAGCTGAGGCACCAGGGAAGCCCAAAAATACTGGAGTAGGTAATCTATCCCTTCTCCAGGGGATCTTCCCGACCCAGGAATCGAACCAGGGTCTCCTACACTGCAGGCAGATTCTTTACCAGCTGAGCTACCAGGGAAGCCCCATTGCTAAGTTAACTTTATAATCCTTATTAGTATATCCTATCTTTCCTGTGTTTGCATTAATGAAAATTATTTCAAATGTTAAACGATGAAATCACTGTGGGTGACTTAACAAGCGGTGTACATGCAGAACATGTGTGCAAGCTCCACCTCCCACACTGCTGGCTCATGGACGCTGGGCGGTGCTCTCTGCCCCGAGAAACCCTTGGGGCCCAGGATGAGAAACACCCGGCAGAGCTGCTCAGAGCCCCTGCTCCGGCCCACCTGCTGATGGGGAAATGAGATGCAGTCACGTCCCGCCTTGGCAGGTCTCATTCCAGGCTCTGACTGGCTACTCTGAGGCCCACTATTCTGTCTGCTGAGTGTGCAGCTCACGCTGGGGGCGCTGCTGAGCATCCCCGGGCCTACCTGCGACCACGAGCTCCAGGACGAAGGAGTTCTGGCCCGCCCGGTTGGTGGCCACGCACGTGTAGATGCCGGCGTCCCGGGCCGAGACGGGCTCGATGACGAGGGAGTGCACGCCGTTCTCCCGCACCAGCATCCTGTGGGTGCTGTCCTGGCGCACTGGCTTGCCGTCCAGCAGCCAGGTGAGGTCGGGCGTGGGCAGCCCACTGACCTGAGGCGGGAGGGAAATGCATGTGAGTTCCTCCGACGCCAAAACGGGTTGCTCCACCCACAGCAGACGGTCTCTTAGTGTGGGTCCCGGTTCTCTTCTTGGCACAGACAGGCTCACTTCTAGACACCTCCTATAGAGCAACATAGAGGAGCGTGAGGTGGGGTCCTCAGGGGGCCCAGTGCAGAGAGTCTGTGCTTCACTGCATGGGGCCCAGGTTCAGTCCTTGGTCAGGGAATGGAGACCGTGGGCAGCAAAGATCATTCTTTACAAGAAGCAGATTTTTCTTACACATTCACAGTTCCCTAGGGCTTCCCTGACAGCTCCTGCAATGCAGGAGACCCCGGGTCGATTCCTGGGTCGGGAAGATCCCCTGGAGAAGGAAGAGGCAACCCACTGCAGTATTCTGGCCTGGAGAATTCCATGGACTGTATAGTTGTCAGTGGGGTTGCAAAGAGTCTGACATGACTGAGCGACTTTCACTTTTACACATAAAACTAAAATAATATTAATCCTTTGGTATCACTTGATTAAAAAAAAATTTTACCTTTTGACTCTGTATATTTATGTTTGTATTCATTTTGGTTCTGTAACTAAAATGTCATTTTACAGGTGGTCTGTGCGAATTCTTACAGACCCACGATAAATACAACGCATATAAATATACACACTGACATATGCTATGCATACGTACACTGTGGAAAGAACTATGTGGCAAATGATGCGGCTGACAAGGGATTCATCTCCAAAATTTACAAACGGCTCATGAGGCTCAGTATCAGAAAATGGATAGAAGATCTAAACAGACATTTCCCCAAAGACGCACAGGAGGTCAAGAGGTACATGACAAGATGCTCAACATTACTAAATATATTAGAGAAATTAAAATCAAACTATTAGAGAAAGGCAAATAAAAAATACACGGTGTTACCTCACATCAGCCAAAATGGCCACTGTCAAAAAGACTACAGATGATAAATACAAGGGTGGGGTTAAGAAAAGGGGACCCTCCGAAGGTGCTGTGCTGGTGGGATGTCATGGTAACAGCCACTGTAGAGAAGTGTAAGGAAGTGTCTTTAAAATGTTCGATAGAGCCACCACGTGATTCAGCAGCCCACTCCTGAGTCTATGCGGAAAAAAGAATGAAAAAAAAAAAAAAACAAACAGAACTCAAAGCGCTGCGGTAGTATTTACAACAGCCAGGACATGGAGGAGACCCAGCCGTCCAGTGACAGACGAAGGGATGAAGATGAACGGGTGAAGAGTAATGTTGCACTCAGCCATAACAAGGAATAAAACTGGGTCATTTGTAGAGATGCGGATGAAACTATACAGTTTATATACAGTCTGTTATACAGAGTGAAGTCAGAGAAAAACAAATACTCTATATTAATGCACATATATATAAATCACATAAATATGGAATCTAGAAAAAGAGTACTGATAAAGCTATTTGCAGGGCAGGAATAGAGATACAGGATGCAGAGAAAGGACTTGTGGACATGGGGAGAGGAAGGAGAGAGTGGGGCAGACGAATTGAGAGTAGGGCTAACAGATACACATGGCCACGTGTGAAACGGAGAGCCAGTGGGCAGCTGCTGCAGGGCACATGGACCTCAGCCCGGCGCCGTGATGACCTGGGGGGGATGGGGGGTGAGGGGAGGGATGCTCAAGAGGGAGGGATCAACATGTGGTTATAGCCGATTCACGCTGTCGCAGGGCAGAAACACAACGCTGCAGAGCCATTATCCTCCAGTTATAAAAATAAAATAACGGAAGTGACACATTTGCATGAGCAAATGATTCAGCCATGAAAAAGAATGAAATAATGCCATATGCTGTAACCTATGGACCGAGAGACAATCATAGTAAAGAGAAGTAAGTCAGAAAGAGAAAAACAAATACCGTGTGGTGTCACTTACAGGTGGAATGTGGAAATGGATACCAACTAACTAATTTACAAAAGTAGAAGAGATGTACAGACTTAGAAAAACAAACTTATGGTCACCAAAGGGGAAAGGTGGGCTGGAAGGGGTAAATCAGGAGGGTGGCATTAATTCATACATGTAAACACATAGTCAACACAGGCCTACTTTATAGCAAGGGAGGTGTACTAAACACTGTCTAAAAACCTATATATGGAAAAAAACTCAAAGATGAATATCTACATTTATAACTGAGTAAGACTCTGTATACCTACAACAAATATGACATTGTAAATCCACTTTACTCCAAATACATACATACATACATATGTATGTTCCAAAAATTAAAGAAGTAATGAGACACAAGTTTTTGGTGGCTTCTTGTAGCACATTTCACTCTAATTTACAAACCCCAAAAAGGACTTCCACTAATGCACTCCAATTTGACACCAGCACTATAAATAGCCAGGACAAAAAAGCAACCTTAATGTCCACTGACAGATGAATGGATAAAGAAGATGTGCTACATATATACAGTGGAGTATTACTCAGTCATAAAAAGAATGAAATAAATGTCATTTGCCATAGCCTGGGTAGATCTAGAGACTGTCATTTTAAGCAAGTCAGAAAGACAAATACGATATCACATATATATATGGAATCTTGAAAAAAAAGATACAGATGAACTTATTTATAAAACAGAAACAGACTTACTGACTTAGATAATGAATTTATGGTTACCAGGGGAGAAAGGTAGGGCTTTCCAGGTAGCCCTTATGGTAGAGAACCTGCCTGCCATGCAGGAGACATAAGAAAACTCAGGTTCGATCCCTGGGTCAGAAAGATCCCCTGCAGAAGGAAATGGCAACCTGCTTCAGTATTCTTGCCTGGAGAATCTCGTGGACAGTGCATGGTGTGTCACAAAGATTCGAATACAAGTGAAGTGACTTAGCACCCACACAGCAAGGAGGGGACGAACTGGGGGATTCGAATGGACATATAAACGGCAGTATATTTAAAACAGATAACCAACAAGGGCCTGCTGTATCGCACAGGGAACTAACTCAATACTCCGTAACAACCTAAATGGGAATAAACTCGAAAAGATGCCTGTGTGTCACTGCATCACTCTGCTCTACACCTGGAACCAACACAACACTGTAAATCAGTTACACTCCAACACAAAACGAAAATAATAAAAGAGAACTACTCTGGAAAATACACTCCTGTTAAGAATGAATTTATCCTTTTCAAACATTTCTGTTAAGTCCAGAGTAAACTCTCTAAAGTGCCTCACATTTATGTTCTGTAATTCCAGAGATAACCAGCAGAGGGAGGCCAAATAATTTTATAAAACATTCATACTTCCGAGCTGAAATTTAAATTCAAGGTCAACAAATGGGGCAAAACCAGAGAAGAGAGCCACAGCACTGGGGGGAAGTTGGGCGCATGCGCTCACCTTGCAGTCCATCCTGCAGAGCTTGCCTTCCTGCACGGTCAGATCCCCGGGAGCCTGCAGGAAGTGCGGGCGGAAGAAGCGCTCCTGGATGGGCTCCCCTTCGTCAGCACTGTCCCTGGACCGCGAGCGAGGCCTTCAGACCAGAGAGAGTCAACATACGGGGCATGGGGGTGGGGCAGGCAGATGGTACAGATAAACAGACCTAGACAGCAGGTCATTTCTAGGGTCCCAGTCATCTGCTTTAACACAGGGGCAAAAACACAATTTCCTTACCTGCTTACCTGCTCCCTAATCTCAACCTTTACACCAAAGAAAAAGTCAGGAGGCAAAACCTTGTTTCATTTGGGAGTTTAATATAAATTTAATAGTCTGCTAATTGCAGATCTTAATCTGCTATCCTAATCCTTATGACTAGTATAAATCATGAATTGGGAAAGGGGAAAAAAACAGGTTAAAGAAAGTTTTAAAATATTTTTAAAATTGGATGAGAACTGTATGAGAATTAGTAGCTCATTTACTACCAAATATTTTTCAGTATCAATAACTATGACTTTCCACTGTGAGTGTAAGTTTGTAGGAAATCAGAAGTTCTTATTATTTTTTAAAAAATTAATAATTTCTAATATAAATTTATTTTCGTATTAACCAGGAAAACAACTACATTTTTAGGCAGGTCTTCTGCATCCGTTATCCATGTACCTAAAGACAATTTTTTTTTTGCTTTAAAAATAAAACTGTGTAAATCTCCCAGATTTTGTGCCTCTTTCTTGCTTTTGAGTATGTTTCTAGAGGCACCTTTAAGAGTAAAATGATTTAAAGTGATTGCAGGGAAGATGTAATAATCCAAGGGCAAGATGTTCAAATTAATTCTGCCAGTGATCATCAGAAAGTAAGTTAAAAAATACTTAACTAGAAAAAGCAAAACAAAAGAAAAAATAGTATAATGGGCTAGAATTATTCACCCTTCAACATAGAGTTCACCCATCAGATCTAGTTTATGAGCATGACGCTCCTCCAGGAAGCAGTGACGCATGAACAGCTGAAATGCACTAAAGGCCCCAGAAAAGCAGCAGAAGATGGGACTTGCTCAGCCGTGCTGTGCTCGCAGCTGGCACAGGTGATGCTGTGCACGGGCTGTGCCCTGGAGGCCAGCATCACGGCTGCGAGCCCGAGGCCTGGGGCTGCCTCCCAGACACAGGCAGGGGCCGCGGGGTGCAGAGCTGCTTGCTGTTTCTGCTCCTCCTGTGGCTTCCCTGCCTCTGTGGCCCTCCAGGACCCCAGCCTGCCTGGAATCCCCTGGCAGGGTCCCCAGGCCAGCAGCCCACCAGCTCCTTTGAAGTCACGCCCATCACTGGGCACCACGCGCCCGCCTATGCTCGCAGACCCCGGGGGCTGCAGGTACGGAAAGTGTCCAAAATGTGGCCAGTCTGACCTTGAGGTCTGGGTCTCGGGTAAACTTGTGCGCTGAGTGACAAGAGCACAAACCTTCAGGCACGAGGTGGTCATAGGAAACCAGGGGCACGCCTGGAGGGCCGCGGTGAGGGACAGGCCGGGCCTGGGCACGCCTCCTGGCTGGTGTCCCCACCCCAGCCACAGGGAGCCCGCTTCCCCTCACGTGCCCACTGTCCCCCGAGCACGCCCTCTCTGCGGGCTCCCCACCACGCTGACAGTGCCGGGTTTAGGAGCCAGCGAGACCCCAGCAACGCCCAGGAAGGGCGCGGGACGTACCTTCTGCCGTGAGGGTGTCCGGCCGGCGGGCGGGGGCTGCGGCCTCTCTGGTTCACAGCCTGGACCATCAGCCGTCCCGTGCAGCTGACGCGGCCCTGCGGGGACAGGACCACAGTGGTGAGGGATGCCCGGGGCCCGCTCCCGCGGCCAGCGCCAGCCCCCGCCCGCCCCCGGGGCTCGGCGTGTGACTCCACATTCATCTGAAGCACTTGGGTAAGACGCTCCCCCCTCCGACGCTTGACTCAGTTTTACTGTTTCATTTAGGAGGCCATTTAAGATGACGACCCCCTATGAACTGACTGTCACCTGCCAAGGTCTCCCTACCCATCAATATTCTTCCTATGAAATTAGCACATTTGAGATTTATGCACCAGAAGCAGTCAAAGCCTGAAACGTGAGGATCAGATGATAAAGGTTAGTTAGATACGCTAACGAAAAACCATTTTATCTTTAAAAAAATTTTAATTTGAAGTATAGTTGACGGGTCTACAATCATCTTGCCCGACACACCCAAGCTCATCTGAAGTATAGTGGACTTAACATTAGTTTCAGGTGTAGAACATGAGTCAACATTTTTGTTGCTTATACCCCTTATAAAGTGGTGACATAGCACACTGCATGCACTACCGTCTCTGTCAACAGCAAGTCTGACAAGTGTCGTCTTGGGGGCGTGGAGCGGTGCTGAGGGGCCCGGACTACAGGAATAAGGGGCCCAGGGGCTTCGGCCTTCTGGCACAGGCGCCTCTTTCTCCTCATGGCTGGCAGAAGAGCAAAGCAGATTTCCTCCTCCACTCGTTCTCGAGGCCCAGGAGCACAAGCAGACAGACTTCTAAACTCTGACAATGACCGAAAGGGAGGAGCCAGGGCAGGAACCTGAGAAGCGCACTGATCATTCATGCCAGTCCTTGGTGACTTCGCGCTCCTGGCTGAAGGGCAGCCCCGTGTGCACTCACGTCACAGCTGACCACTGACCCCCACGGTCATCCCCAGTGGCCGACACACGGGAGGCCAGAGCTGAGGGTCGCATGGGTTCTCAACCGCCTTCTGAGCTCCCCTGGGAGTGGGCTGAGGGGGCAGAGGACACTGGCGGGGACGCGGAGGGGGGCACCACAGCAGGATGCAGGGAGGGGCCTGCATGTCTCAGCCCGGACCCCCTCAGGCCCCAGGAGAGGCACAGACGCACACTAACAGTGCAGACAGAAGGGTGAGGCGGCCCCAGGAGGATGGCTGCCGGGAGCACACAGCTCGCGCGGCCCTGAACCGCGAGGCAGGCCCCTCCTTCGCTGAGGCCACCACATCCCCAAGTACTGTGCAGCTAACTTCAGGAGGGAGCGACCCCCGCCCTGCACCAACGGCCTCACAGGCCCCGGCCACGCGACAGAGGCTCTCCCATGCTGACCCTGGCACACCCCGGGGACTCCCCAACACGGCCTGACGTCTGAGAATCACTTTCACTGACCCGTCCCACATGGACTTGTGCAGGTGCACGTGCCTAGAAGAGCCTGTTACAGATCGCACAGCTGACAACTCACCGCGGCCGGTCTAGCAGGTGGTCATGGAAGCCCTGTGGTTCTTTCCGGAGCTTGAGAACAAGGAGCTATGCATTTCACAGATAGCACCCCTTGTTCTCAGGACAGGCTTTCCATACTTTCTGCTTTGCAGCTTCATCACAGGCTGTGGGGCCCCTCAATGCTACCTGTTCACTTTTAACTGTCTTATTAACACATGAAGGAGTAACAGAAGTGAATGTGTGAAGCGAAGCTCGGAAGGAGCCAGGAAACCCTGTGAAGCTGAAACACAGACCACCAACAAGCCAGACTTTTGACTGTAACTCTGCTGCTCACAGCTCTTCTGTTCGGACCAAGTCCTCGGCTGGAGGCTGACACGAGCCCCGAGTGTGAACTCTGAAGGTGGTTCTGCGCGAGATGCTCAGCTCGTGAGGCGCACGTGACGCCTGGCAAGGCTGGTTCTTCACCTGCTGTGGAAATAGCATCTGCCTGTCCCGGCTCACAGAGTCTAACAGGGCCCAGGGCCCAGGACAGCCGCCCGCTCGGACACACAGCACAGCTGGAGAAGGCACAAACCACGAAGGCCATTCCAGCCCGGGGCAGGACCAGGCTCCTAGCAACGCAGCAAAACAAAGCCAAACATCTGCGTCCGCATTCCACCGCGCTGTCAGGAGGTGTGAGAGCCGGCAGAGGCGGGGCCTGCGGGCCGGTCTGGCACAGGGGGTCGCAGCGCTGGCCCCTCCTGACCTCGCTAACCTGCGGCTGCTGTCTCCTGGGGGCAGCCAGGCGAGCACGCCCGGCGCTCTGAGCTCATCCCCACGGAGACCTGTCAGCAGCCTCTCACACGCCTCTTGTCCCTGAAGACCGAGCAGGTGGGAAAGTCGTCTCTGAAATAAACTGCTGGCCGTGCTCGCCTCCCTCCTGGCTTCTCAACCTCTCTCACGGCTACCCTCAGGACTTATCTCCCCCGCCTGGAGAGCCCAGCCGCTCCCGCTCCACTGTGGAAGCCACGGTGTCAGAAAAGGGAGATGGTGCTGTCCCCCTTCCAAACACGAATCCTTCTAGAACATGGAAGAAAATCATGGCACCAAAGGGCGTCAAGGAAGCAGGGAGCCCACGTCAGGCAACCCCACGCTATGCTTCTGGGACTGGAACCATATGTATGTGTGCATGCTTTATGTATCCTGGAAAACTTAGCTTTTACTTTTGAGATTTTTTTTCCAGTACCTATTTACATCATGTTCCTTTTAAACCATTTTTTTAATTCACAAATTACAAGAATGGCAAAGCCATTTACTATACCATAGCAACTGTTTATAAAGCTGAGTTTATGGAGTGCTGGGCTTCCCTGGTGGCTTAGAGGTAAAGAACCCGCCTGCAATGCAGGAGATGTGAGAGACAGGGGTTTGATCCCTGAATTGGGAAGATCCCCTGGAGAAGGATCAAAACTAGCAGTATTCTTGCCTGGAGAATTCCATGGACAGGGAAGCCTGGTGTGCTGCAGTCCATGGGGCCACAAAGAGTCAGATAGGACTGAGCAACTACACAACAACATGGAGTGTGAGGTGTTTCTATCATCATGTTCCCATGGCAACAAGAGACAACTTGCACCAAGGATCAGGCAGAGAAATGGGCTCTCGCGGGTCACGGCTGACATACCACTTTATTTTCCTAAGTGGGTAGGAAGTTCATTCCAATTTTTCACAAAGTTGGACGCACAATCTTAGATGACTCACAAAACCCACATGTGGCATGTGTGCACGGACCTGCCACTGAAGACCCGGGACAAAAAGGTATTTCACCCCTGAACTAACACCCACCAGGAGACGTGCGCAGAAGCTCACAACAGCGGCTGTCAAGCACCACAAACCCCAAGTGCACAGCAACGTCAGCCTGAGGCCCACATCCACTCTCAGGATCTTCCCAGACTCTGCTTAGGAGTCTCCCCTCTGACACCTGCCTCTTGGTCATTCAGGTAGGAAAGGAGAAGTTTAGTGATAAGAACACACCCTGTTAATGAGAATCCTGGTGGATCAGACCTCAATAGACAGCAGGCTTCTGGCATGAAGACCTGTTTTGGCAGGGGAGCCTCTGGGGCCCGGAGTGGTCCCGCTGCTGTCTGTTCAATCCACAGGCGGGATGGAGACACTGTCAGAAAAGGCGGGCTCGGGACTTCACTATGGCCAGGGGCTCCCAATGCAGGGGCCTGGGTTCCATCTCTGGTCAGGGAACCAGATCCCACATGCCACAGGTAAGACTCTGCATGCTGCAACTAAAGCTTGATGACCCAGCACAGCCAAATAAACAGACTAAAAAGGAAAAGTGGGCTTCTGCTGCCCTGATGTAAATGGTCACTCCCCGTCTCTTTGACTCCAAGAGGTAAAGCACGAAGAATCAGACGAGGCGATCTACAGGGTGTGGCCAGCTCTCTGCTAAGGAAGCGGGGCCCCAGGTTGAGGGTGGGGCCTCCTCCTGGCCCTGGTGTGGCTCCCGCCTGCCAGGCTGTGGGGGTGGGGGGTGGATCTTTAGCTGAGCCCTCACCCTAGCCCCCAGCTGTGCAGTCCTGATTCAGCCACACTGGCTGGGACTCCCCCTCAAGGAGCGACACCACCTGAGGGAGGCCATGCGCAGGCTCCAGACTGCGGTTCGACATTTGCGTTATTCTGTTCTTTAAAGGTGCTCGCTCCAGCAATAGTTCAAAATGTGCAGCAGGCAAAACGCCTGGACACGAACAGCAGAGCCCGGGAGTGGTGACTGTGGAAGGGACACAGTGGACTCTAGCTCCATCACCTACCCCAGACTTCTCAGGGCACGAGAGGAATCAAGAACCCAACATGAAGGAAAACTCTGGGTTTTGTTGAGTTCTCCACTACTCTTTTTAAAAGGAAGAAAACAGAAGATGGGAAATAGTCAAGGAAGCATACTAAAAATACAATTAAAAAAAAGTTCCACTTTCATTCCCTCAAATGCACCGTGAACACAAACAAGCATTCAAACATAATTGTTTCGTAAAGGTCATGACTGTGACTTTTTTTCAGAGGTCATGTGTTCACTGATTGAAATATCAGAGCCTCAAGAAGGTGCATGAACTTGGAAACTGTTCCTGGTCAGTGAGGAGTCCACTGTCCCAGCTCACACCCCAGCTCACACGCTGGTTGTGGTGAAATCTGTGAGACTTCAGCTCAGTCTAATTTTAACATTACTGCAATAATGTATCTTTCCATGACAATGTAACCTTAGGACAGGATAACACTGTTTGCAACACTGTATGCACTTGTAGAAGTATGCAAAAATTGCTAAAATTACCTGTATCATTTTCTAACACTTAATGTTTCTTTCAAAAGAAATAATGAAATATAGAAATAGATCAGAGATTTTTTAAAAAGGATGACTGGTGAGCAATCTTCATCAGTTACATAATAAAACTGTTAGCTTTCTTTTTTAAAAGTGTTATTTACAGGCTTCCCTGATAGCTCAGTTGGTAAAGAATCTGCCTGTAATGCAGGTAGACCCTGGCTCGATTCTTGGGTTGGGAAGATACCCTGGAGAAGGGAAAGGCTACCCATTCCAGTATTCTGGCCTGGAGAATTCCATGGACTTGGTATAGTCCATGGGGTCACAAAGAGTCGGACACAACTGATTATGTGGTTTTTGTAGACTTTGTAAAGTACCTTGTTAAGTGTTTCAAGCACAAAACCACTTCTTACACATGTCTGTGGATTCAGTACAGTTCCTAAAATATACAAGATAATCTATAAAAAAGAATTTGCAGGTTTGAATCGGAACCTGGTAGCCAGTAGCTGCCTACTAAATTCTAAGTAGTCAATTAATTTTTTGACCCTAAATCTAAAGGCCAATACAAGAGAAAACAAAACAAAATCCTGAGTGCTCTATTTATATTCTATCAAAATTATAATTTGTCCACACTTATAGGTTACTTAAATTCCACTGAATTAACTGTGTGTGTATTTCTTCTAAATATTTAATTTTTGAGTCTTCCTACCACATCTTACACATACCCTTCACTCCCCTTTCTCCTGGGAATGTTATTCTACATGAAATCACATGGTTTGTGCGTCTATTTACTGGCTCATCTTCTGTGTCGGGACCTCATCCTCCCAAGAACGGCAGCCCCACCCCCCATGAGAGGTATGCATAGCAGTCTCTCGACAATGTTTGTGGAGATAAATGGTGCACATCTGTGCATCATGCACACAAATGTCTAATGGAATAAACAAACAGGAGAGAAAAATCTCTCTCCTGGGAAACCAAGCTGGACAGAGAACGTGGGGGTCCAGCACCCCACCAGGCGAGCCGCCTCTTCGTCTGGGGACCCCACCGGTCCAGAGCAGAGCCGGGCTGCGCTTCTCACCTGAGGGTTGGCAGCCATGACCGTGTAATTGCCGTCGTCCTCCAGCGTGGAGGCTGCGGTGTGCAGGGAGCAGGTCCCGCTGGGGTCGCTGCGGATGCTGTAGTGGTCGTTCTTGGGGGAGATCTGCTTTCCATCCTTAAACCAGTAAATCTGCGGGAGGAGGCAGAGAGGAGGTGAGGCCTGTGTGTGTGGTGGGGGGGCTGTTCTGAGCTCCTGCGACAGAATGAGAGACTGGACACCTGGGCAGGACCTTGACTTCCGAGGGACGAGGGGAGGCAGCGAACAAGGCTACTTCTAGTCTATCAGAAATTACACGTTCTTTCTTTCTAGAAGATGTACAGGCACTTCCCTGGTGGCCCAGCGGCTAAGACACCTTGCTCCTACTGCCGGAGGCCCAGGTTCAACCCTCAGTCAGGGAACTAGATTCCACTTGCCCCGGCCAAGATCACAGATCCTGCATGTCGCAACTCAGACGTGCTGCCGCCAAATAATAAAGTAGGAAGTATTTAAAGTATATTTTAAATAATAAAGTAACACTAAATAAGACATATTAATAATATATTAAGTTATTAATAAAATAAACAATAAATATAAGATAAAAGATGTACATAAGCAGCATTTACATTCACCCATTATTTACATGGAAGATGTGATTAGCTCTCAGCTGGCATCACAGTTTTCTTTTTGCTTCTGTTTTCGTATGTCCTAAGTGGACATGTATTACTTGTAAAGGGAAAAACATTATCTCAAGATTAAAAAAACCAGACCCTAAAGTCCGGTGAATTCGTCTGTGTCAGACACCCAGAACAGGGTGAGAGGGAGGGGTGGCGGGCGCAGCTGGGGGGCACAGGGTTGAAGGTTACAGTTCACCAGGTCTCCCCACTAGGTTAAACACAGCAGCATTTAATTTTCAAATAACTTGGAGTGATAGAAAATTGTGAAAAATATAATAAAAGTACATCTTGATTAGACAGAAACGTTCTAAATGGTCAAACCATCTCTTCTACAGGTCCCTCCTCCCCGCTTTCTCCTTTAAGCAAGATCCCAGGGCCATCGGTTTCTCACGTTTTGCTGGTTATATCTGAGCCAAGAGAGGCCACAGTGATGGTCACAGAGCCGCAGCGCCAACATAGCCAGTATGCGGTGTCGGCCAGAGGAAACGACATCCTCGCTTTTTAAGCAGGATGCGGTCACCTCTGTTCCCTGCAGCCCAGGGCACTCCTAGCTGACTCCCAGCAGAGGAAACCTACTTCAGAGCCTGCCATAAAATGAACTTCCTTCTGCATGTACATCACTTGGCAAGTTGAGACCACAGCTGGCCTTTCACTGTTACTCCCTGTCAAAGCCTCTGAATCTGAAAAACTTCTCTTAAACCTTCCAAGTCTAAGGCAGGAAAAGGCCAGAAACAGACAACACAAAGTAAGTGCGTCAACAACGAGGGTCTGAGAGCTGCAGTCTTTCCCTCCCTAGTTTTACGGAAACTATATTACCAATATTACCAGTCTCCAGAACCTAAAAGTTCACCATCGAAACAGACTAGTAACTTTCAGTTCCAAAAGCTAAGTTACATAAAGGCTGACACTTCATAATTATCATGCTCTTACCGGTTGGATTATTTCTGATGGAATAAAGAAGCTCAGATCAGTATACAATGTCTACCTTTCACATTCCTGCTGCTATGCCAGTTCTTTAGAATTCTTTTTTCCCTTTAGTCCTATTTTTCACCTGTATTATACTTAGAAGACAACTTTCAAATGAGAATTAAGAGATGTATTGTGCTGAGCTGCTCAGTCATGTCTGAGTATTCTCAACTCCATGGAGTGCAGTCCGCCAGGCTCCTCTGTCCATGAGGATTCTCCAGGCAAAGGTACTGCAGTGGGTTGTCATGCCCTCCTCCAAGGGATCTTCCCGACCCAGGGACTGAACCCAGGTCTCCCACATTGCAGGTGGATTCTTTACCATCTGAGCCACCAGGGAAGCCCAAATTAAGAGACAGTGCCAACATTCTACCAAGCCTGCTCTGAGAGTGTGGGGAAGGTACAACAGACGAAAACAGTGTGAACTAGAACTCCGCTTCAGTCTGCTCAGGTTTCAAGGGGACAAGCCTGTCAAGGGCAGAATATCCTGGGAGAGTGTCAGGCGGAGCTTCCATTTCTCACTGAGCCTCTCTTACTGTCTTCCCTCCAGTCCTGTAGAAAAGTGCAGTCCTGTGTGCTGTTCCATGGGGCCATGAGCAGTGATCCTACTCTCTGTCTAAAGAGACGGCCACCCGCCACCCAGTGTCCCCGTGTGCCTGCAGGACAGGCTCTGGCCGGGCCAGCCACAGCCGTTGGACTCTTGCCCCCTCCACCTCTGTATACACAGGCGGCCTTGGCTTTGTGGATTAAAGATATGATTCCAGCCACTAGTGGCAGCTTCACTGCTCCGTACAGTACAGAGCATGGGCGGGGATCAAGTTCAGGCCTGGCCGCCACAGCCCCTTGGCCTCGAGAAAGCTCACCGACCTGCTGGAGCTGAGCCCGACACCTGCAGCGCGGGAGTCACAACCGTGGCTCCATGTGAGCGGGAGAGGGGAGGGTGGGAGGCGCTCCCTGCCAGTCACTCTCCTAGTCTATCCGTCCTGTCCTCGTAGGTCCCATTCTATCCCACCCTATTCTGCTCAACCCGGTCCGAGTCTAGGGGCTGCCCTGGTGGCTCAGACGGTAAAGAATCCACCTGCAATGCCGGAGATGTGGGCTCAATCCCTGGGTCAGGAAGATCCCCTGGAGGAGGGCGTGGCAACCCACTCCAGTATTCTTGCCTGGAGAGTCCCATGGGCAGAGGAGCCGGGCAGGCTACAGTCCATGGGTTCACAAAGAGCAGGACACGATTGAACGACTGACACTTTCACAGTTTCAATTCTGGCATTTGTCCTCCTACCACCACCCTGCAGGCTGGAAGCCAGACCCATCCTCAGGGCATGCAGCTCTGAAGAGGCTGTGTCTCCACTCACCTTGGGCTTTGGGTCGCCGGTCACTCTGCACGTGAATGTCGCAGGCATACCCTCAAAGATCTTGTAATGCTTCAGCTTCACCTCAAAGAAGGGGGCCACTCCGCTCTCCACAGACGTGTCCCCGCAGGGTGCCTCATCCCCTGACTCCTCCACGGGGGACCGCTCCAGCCGGTACTCGATTTCACTGATGAGCCTCTGCTCACAGCTGGAGACCTTGTACTCCTGAGTCAGACGGAGGGGCCGTGTCACGGCTGGGCCCCTCATGGCACACAGTGCCCCACCGGACTCAGCCCCTCTCCAGGCAGGTTCCCAGAGGGCAGCGATGTGTTTACTACAGAACTAAACAAGTCTGCACGCCAGTCACTCCCACATGAACAAAGAAACCTGGAAGGATGCGTCGTGTTTCAAACCATCCTCAAGTCCTATCAACCAAGAAACACCACAGCCACACAACTAGGAGAATGAATTTCTTCCTCGTCTCTCTTAGAATGGGGAGAAGAAAAAGGCAACGGTTCCTCCTAAACTGCTCATAAAAGTTAAGCACTGATGCCACGCTGACCCTTCCCTGTCTGAGGGCTGGCGCCTCCCAGATGGGCAGCTGCGGCTCACTTGGCCTTTTCTCCAGTGGGTGACAGAGTACTGGTACCTTACTCCCTTCTCCTGACAATCCTCACCACCCAGCTCCCCAGCTCTGGGCAACCATTCTCCACCCTCTTTAAAAGAAAAAGAGGACGGAAAGTCCAGTCAAATATGTGGTTAAAAAAATAGGCATCAAGTGCCCGCCAGCATCCTCTAGTAATGAAGGAGTACCAAGAGACCTCCTGCTCATGAAGTATAGAAAAGAAAAGGCAGCCCATTATGAAACATTCTCTATTTAATAGTAAATGAAAGGCTGTTTCAAACGAGGTTCTCTCTTAAAGTTACTCAATCTTTAAAAACAGTCTGGCGTGGGGTTTCCCTGGTGCCCAGTGATTAAGACCTGGCACTATCAGTGGAGGGGGCAGGGTTTGAGCTAAGATGTCACACGCCACATGGCATGCCCCAAAACCCAAAAAAGCCTGTTGGCTTGAGGGAAGAAATTCAGCAGTATGAATAAAACTGCAGGAAATACACAAGTTGCTTTTTCTAATTATTATCAAATTAATCAGTTTAAGAATTAGCTCTTCTTTCTCCTAGAAAACTTTTAACAAATGAGAAACTTCTCACAATTTAAAATTCAGAGTATTCATAAAGGATAGAATAAAATTCAAGTCTGTAAATAAACGACATGACAAATCACAGTGCAGTTACTCTGTCCCTCTGATACAATGAAAACAGACATGGTGAGTGTGTTGGTAACGATCGTATGGCAGGAAATGCAGACACACAGGTACATGAGGCGGAACAGAGGGATGGACACAGAAGGACTGGGAGGAGAAGACAGGTAAAGGCGACCTTCTGACCGTCCAGAGGACTCTCTACAGAAGCACGAGATGGCCAGGGGTCCTGAAACAGCAGAAAAGGAGAAGTGAAGACCAGGAAGAGAAGCGGCAAGAATCCAACCCGATTTCCAGCTTTAAGGGAAACTCTGGTGGGAGCAATATTTAACACAGAAAAACTTTCAGATTTTGAAGGCTGATCCATTTCTCAATAGACAGGATAAAGAGTTTACTTGATCCTTTAAACTTGTGTTCAAAAGCTTTCTTTCATCTTAAAACTATTCAGTACATATGGAGACCCCAAATAGAAGCAGTGGAGATCACAAACAGCTCACAGCAAATCCATGAAGTGATTCTGGTGTTAGCAGGGGAACAAAGCAGATTCCCTGCTCATTACTGACTTTCAACTACATTTGTGGAGAAAAACATTCTTTTCTGTACATAGATAGTTCACCTGGATGAGATATTAAGAACGTAACTGAAATTAGTCACAAGTGACTTAACACAATCTCAGTGAACGAATGTTCCTCCACAGAAACCTGTTTTGCATTACAGCACAGGACAGGGAAATCAGAAAGATACTTGAAAGAAGAGAAACTAATGGACAAGACAAAAGGTGTCATTGACTGAAATAACTCCATCACCCCCCAACACAGGGCATGCTCACTCGCCGCCGGCCAGAGGCCGCCTGTGACCCACCCTTGGCTCTGCACAGAGCTGGCCCAGGGCCAGGTCCCTAGGGATGCTGGGGGAGGTGGGCAGAGAACACTGCTCTCCCGGGAAGCCAGGAGGATCGCATACCTGGTTGGCTGCCTCCTCCTCTGGCTCCTGGACGTTGAAGACAGTTGCGCTGTCGGCACCCAGGAGCCTCCGAGCCATCCTTTCTTCGTAGGTCAACCTCTAAGCAAAGAAGCCACACGAGTCAGAAAAATCACACTGCTGCAGCGCCTTGAGAACACGAACACAAAGAGCAAACGGGCCTGTGGGTCTCTGACCGCTCTGCTCCACCTCTGGACGCCTGTGCAGACAGGAGCCCTCTGCTCCGTGTTCACCTGCTCCCACTGAGCCTCCAGTCCTGACCCTGAGCTGAGCCAGGGTGGCCCATCCCGAGCGCCATCAACTAACGGAGGAGCACAGACTGAAGGTAAGCACAGCGAACCACAGGGCAGAAGTCACCTACAGGTGTGTGTCACGTGTTTATGCCAAATGATGAATAAGAAGACAAAGACCTTTAGCCAGCAAGAGGTTTTCTACAGGACGTGTATGGTTATAGCTGTCACAGGCTTCAGAACAGCTCCGAGCCTGGGAGGGGAGTCCGAGGCTGGCGGGCAGGGCTGCTTCGAGAGCTCTTCTCCGGGGCCAGGCACGGGGCTGAACGCAGGCCAACACAGGAAGTCGTGAAGGCTGGCTGCACACGCTGACCCAGCAGAGGGGCCGGAAGTGGCCTCGAGCCGACTGGGAGACTGCTCCCAGCGAAGGTGGGGAGGCCCCTGCACTGAGTGCCCAGGGCTTTGGGCTGAACACAAACCAAACGGCCCACTTGCTTTGTCTGATAGGCTGTGCCCTTGAGAGCTGGCTCCAAAACGATCGGCCCATTCACTGGGGCATTTTAAAAACAAGCTTTTGATTCAAAATAGAGAATAATTAGTAGCACAAAATAAAATTTTAAAAAATGTGTAAATTATTTCAGATGAACTTCCAAACCTCTGAATCCAGACACAGACTCTCCTAGAAACTCTCTAATCAGGAAAATATGCTGGGTAAATCGCTGCTTTCCAGTAATTGCTGGTTTCAGTCCCAGTGGAAACCGGGAAGAGAAGCAGGACACATGCCAAATGGCAAACGGACCTGAAGTTCCAATGACCTTGTTTTGGGAAAAGGGGCCGAGGGTGAGGAGAGGTGTATCTGTGGCACGGAATGGCTCGTCCACATGCGGCTGTTTAATTTTCTCAACATGCATTAAAGAATCATGGATTCAGTTTTCAGACACAGTTTTAAATACCGTTTTAAACACCTGCTCTCCTAAAAAGCCTTCCTAATGTTTGGGGAGGGTGGCCTGGTGCCACCCCATTCCTCTGGAGCAGAAGCATCACTCGATATTCAGGCCCTCGTCAGACACACCTGCCACCACCAGGAGCCAGACTCACTCACTGCTGTGCTTCTGAACCACTCTCTGCACCGTGTGAACATAAAGTCCATATACCAAGACGCCAGAAACGTGGACAGAGACACGTGCAGCGTCAGGAAGAAGCTGTCTAACGGTCACATTTTCTAAGAATGGAAACCTTACTTGTCCTTTTAAAATTCTCAAATGTGGAAATGTATGGAAAATACTGGAAATGTCATTCACTGCTGAAGAAATACAAATAATATATACCTCTCTGCAAAGGAGATCTATGACATATATATGCAACAAATGTAAATACATGTAGTGTAATAATAATAGCTTATAGAAATCTTACCTTTTAAACCAAGAGTTATTAGTTCATAAGGAGTATTTAAACAAACCAACAGAAAAACCTTGAAAAAAGCCTTTACCTGGCTTGAGAAAGATCCCATAAGTCTCTGTTTTAATCTTTCAAAGGCTCTGGTTGACAGAGCCAGGGAAAACTTCCAGAATGTGTTCATTTGCACATGCAACCACTTATTTCAGGGAGAAGATATCTCCCCTGTGTGAAAATCTCAGTGAGGTGAGTAACGTGAGGTCTCTTTAGCATGTCAGTCTTCCTCAGCCCCTAAGATCAGTACCCAAGCCCCTCCTCTGGGCCCCAGCCTTCCAAACCACATGGTCTGTGCTTATGTCTTTATGTATCAGGGCAGGATAACCACAGCTCCCAGAAAACAGAGTCAGCACGCAGGCTTTGTCCTCTGGAGAAGGTGCTGAGGAAGACTTTACACAAGAGGCCCCTCTCTGCATCTACTGAAAAGCCAGGCCAATGCCCCATAAAGCACACAGGTCACTGGCCCCCGCCTAAGAAATCTCATTTCCTAGACTCGCTTGCCAACGCCCTTCAAGAGCTCGGACGTGATGAGGAGCAGTGAGCCCAGAAAACAAGCAAGCCAACACCTGACCAGGAAGCACTGGGCCCGCAGAGGAGGCACCGGTGTGGACTGTGTCCTCGTCCATCCACAACCCGTAGCCTCGGAACAGTGACCACTCCCTTCCAGGACTGAGCTGAGCCGCCCCCACAGACCAGGACAAGCGCGGTAACGGAAGCACACCTGGACCGTCTAGACCAGATCGGCATGGTCTCCTAAGGCGCGCGGGCGTCTCTGCAGCGCAGGGCAGGGCACAGAGCCCAGAACTGAGCTCCAATCCACCGCCTCTGGGCAGAGACCGACCGTGGGGCACAGCCCCCAGCCCTACCCTCCAGCGGGACTGGCTCCCTCTCTGTGCCTCCCACCCAAGGGCTTGCCAGGCCCGACCCTGCTTAGCTTCCAAGCAGGACAAGCGCGGGTGTGATCGGGGCGGTGTGGCTGTAGCCTGTCCCTTTTGTCTGTAGTGTCGAAGGTCCTCAGTGTGCTACCGTGGCCTCAGCCTTCCTGCCCCCTCTACCTCCAAGCTGCCGTATTCCCCCCAGCCCCCAGGAATGGTTTATGGAAGGAGGCAGCAGAGCCTCCCCCCATGCTCTCCCCCTCCACAAGCAAACCTCAACCCGGAGAGGCGTGTGGGGGCTGGGGCGGGGGGCGGGGGGCGACACCAGCTGTCAGGACGGTGCTCTGTGCTGGCCGAAGGCCAGGTGTGAAGGTGAGGCTCCAGCCCTAAGGCTGGTGAGGGCGGCTCCAGCGACTGCCCCGCCCCGCCCCCTACCACCCGCTCCGCCCCGCCCCCTACAACCGGCTCCTGCTCGTCACGTCCCCGCCCCCACTACCGCCCCCTACCGGCTGCCCGTTGTTCAGCAGGTCCTCCTTGAAGCGCAGCTTGCGCTCCAGGTCCTGGATGACGGCGTCCTTGGAGCCCTGGATCTCCTCGTCGGAGGCCATCCTAGCAGGTCTGCTGGCCTTCTTGGGAAGCCCCCTGCGGGTGAGCACACAGTGGAGACAGGGTCAGGGTTTGGTCCGGCAGGCACACCCAGCCCAGCGCTCAGGGCCCCAGGCGTGCAGTCCACCCTGGGGCCACGCCCATCCTGCTGGGTGTGGACCAGTGACCCAGACAGAACCGCTGGCACACGTGGGTGTGTCAGGGGGCGAGATGAGCGCCGAGGCAGAACAGGCGCCATCTGTGTGCAGACCTGGGTTTCTGCCGCGTCAGGCATCAACCCTGACTATTCATTTAAAGCACTGATGTTGAAGCTGGAGAACAGATCACAGAACACACCATGTGGCAGGAATTCTAGGTGGGACAGGAATAAAGAGGAAGCAGGAATGGATGCAGGCCAGGAGGGGATGGAGGGGGGATGAACGTTAGAGGACCCTAGGATGCTGTGTGGAGCCCCGGGAGCCTGCCAACACCCCTGCTGACCCGCTGGCTGGGGCCGCGCTCCGTTCCGGGCACTGTGCTGCAGCCTCAAGCCACTGTTCTTGCTAAAATCAGCTCCTGCAGTGGAGGTGGGGAGGTGGTGCTGCCAGGCAACAGGAGGGGAGGGTCCAGGTGGAGCTGGACTGGGAGGACCGCATCAGGAAGGGGCGGCCAGAGCCAGCCCAGGGGGTCGATGGGGCACGGGGAAGAGAGGGCCGGGGTGAGGCACCCTCTCCATTTAACAGGGAACCTCTTTTTCTGAGAATATCTCATTTGGACTAATTACTAACGTGATTCGGCAAACACTAAGAAATTATGTTAAAACCTGAGCACAGAGTAAGGGTGAGGCTCTAAGGTCAGGCAGAAAGCAGGACGCAGCATCTGCCCCCAACACGCCACCCACCGACTTCCGAGGAGCCAAGAGCCACTCCTCAGGAACAAAAATGTGTCTGCTGACAGAGATCCTTTCCCTTCACAACGGTTCATACAATTAAAAATTAAGACATTTCTTCAAAGTAAACTGTTACCCAAACCAGCACTCCTCACAGTGCCGGGGAGCCAGTGACAGCCCCACCTGCCTGGGGTGCTGACCTCCTGTGCACACGGTCAGGCCGAGCCCACAGGAGCATCCGGCCCCGTCTGCACCAGCAACATGACCCAGTGCTCGCGTGCTTGGGGTGGGAACTGCCGCCACTGGAGACACACCGTTGCCTGGACGCGTGTGTCTGTAACCAGCTTTGGGAAGGGCGGTGACCCCATGGCCTCAGGAAGGAAAGTGGGGAGGGACTGGATCCACAGGAATCCCCTAAACCCTGACCCACATCAATGCCGCGGGCTGCGGGGAGGCCGCCCAGCCTCTCTGTCACCGTGGCCCGTAGCTGCCTCCACACTCTGCCCGGCCCTCCATTGCGCAGACACCAGATGCAAAACCGCATCTCCACAGACTGTTTATAAGCTACTCTTTTACAGATGAGAACAAGATGATGCTAAACACAAACAACGGAATAGCCATTAGTGCAACTGATGATTAAGAAAATAGAGATAGCTGATTTGCTGTACGGCTCAGGAAACTCCAACAGAGGGTCTGTACCAACCTAGAGGGGTGGGGTGGGGAGGGAGATGAGAGGGAGGGGCAAAATGGAGGGGATATAGGTGTACCTATGGCTGATTCATCCTGAGGTTTGACAGAAAACAACAAAATTCTGTAAAACAATTATCCTTCAATTAAAAAAAAAAGATAAAAAAAGAAACTGCCCCCCAGGAATTCTATGGCCTATGCCCTCTGGTTCCATGGGGGTACAGGTGTGACCACTCTGTCTGTCTGGCTTTGAACACCGTGTTAGCTCCTGCGTCCCCAGGGCCTGCTCTGTGTCTTGGTCAAGAGAACTCACCGTTGCCTCTCATGGCTGAGCAAGAAAGCTGCACAGGTCACAGAACAAGGACTGGGATGGACCTGTACACACCGCCATGTCAAACGGTAACCAACAAGGACCTACTGCATAGCAGAGGGGACTCTGCTCAATGTCACATGGCAGCCTGGATGAGAGGAACGTTTGCGGGAGACTGGGTGTATGTATACGTGTGGCTAAAGCCCTTTGCTGTCCACCTGAAATTCTCCCAACATTGTTAATTGGCCGTACTCCAATATAAATTAAAAGTTAAAAGCAACACCAAAAAAAAAAATAAATAAAATAAATAAAATAGAGATATCTGAAATTTGCATTTAAGATTTTGGTATCAGATAAGCAAGGAAGCATAATAAAAACCAACCAAACTAACGGATTCCTACTTCACCAAGTCACTTGTAATCAGTCTGCGTACGTGCACTTGACACATATGGCAAAGCTGTCCAACCAGACGAATGAGTGAACCTGAGTCTGCTGTTACAATCACAAGTGCTCCACGAAAGAAACGAGTGACTGAAGAGGGCCGACTGACCAGGGCTGGGCGGCTCCTACAAGCTCAAGGGCGCCGACTGGTCATGGTGGCCCAAGAGGGACACCCAGTCTTGGGCAAGTCTGAACTGATCCATCTGAATTACTATGATGGCTAAAAAGTTACTGTTTCATCTTTAATTCTGAATGCAAACCAGTGATCCCACAAGTTTGCAGAGGAAAAATGCTCCAAAGGTCATATGAATCAAACCAACAGAAGGAATTCTTTAAGTGTGTGTGATTTTGCAACAGGAAATTTTTTGTGGACAAAAGGGTGACCACACAACTGTGGCTTCTGGGCTGGCACATAGTTGGAGGCCTGGGGTCACCACTGAACATGGTGTCAGAGGGCCCAACTCCCCTGGGTACAGCTTCCCACAGCCATAAAATCGGAGTGATGTCCCCCTTAGCTTTGAAGAAATGGCAGGAGCTGCTGGTCTCCTCTCTGGTAATAATTATAAAATACCATGACTCCATATGAGTAACCAAGACAGAGACTGCTAAGAGGTGAGCACTTCTGTTACTTCAGATGAGCCTGTAAAACTGCTGAATACAAGGGAATTTCAAAGTCGGAGACCAGAATGAACTGCTTCTGCCTAAGATGATAAAAGGTGTGACACTGCCCCCCTGTCCAAGGCGGCGGTGGACTCATCTTTCATCAAATTCCAACTGACAAGTGTTGTTGTTGTTCACTTGCTAAGTCGTGTCTGACTCTGAGACCCCACTGACTGCAGCATACCAGGCTTCCCCGTCCATCACCATCTCCCGGAGCTTGCTCAAACTATTGTCCATTGAGTTGGTGATGCCATCCAACCATCTAATTCTCTGTCGTCCCCTTCTCCTGACCTCAATCTTTCCCAATATCAGGGTCTTTTCCAATGAATCAGTGCTTCGCATCAGGTGGCCCAAGTATTGGAGCTTCAGCTTCAGCATCAGTCCTTCCAATGAATATTCAGGACTGATTTCCTTTAGGATGGACAGTCCAAGGGACTCTCTGAAGTCTTCTCCAGCACCACAGCTCAAAAGCATCAACTCTTTGGCACTCAGTCTTCTCTATGGTCCGGCTCTCACATCCGTACCGGACTACTGGAAAAACCATAGCTTTGACTAGACAGACGTCTGCTAGTAAAGTGATGTCTCTGCTTTTAAAATCACTGTCTAGGTATGTCATAGCTTTTCTTCCAAAGAGCAAGTGTTTTCATAGCCCTTCCATAGTAAGAGGACAAATGGTATCACGTAGCAAAAAGACAAAGGTTTGCTCAGGCCAGAGGATGGACTCGACTCTGGCTGAAACCCATGATTACACCACCACCCTCGCTCCCCTCCTTATGTGACTATTTACACAGTCACCTGACTAAGCTTTTTCCCATAAGGACATGAGAAGAAGCCAGAGCTCAATCGCAGAATTCCTCAGGCAGCCTTTAGAAAATGCCCAACAACGCAGGATGCGCCCAACAGGCACTTCTGGACACCCTTGGAGGGCAAACAGCAGTCTCGTCTCGCAGGAGCCACAAGCCCACCCCAGGGTGGGAGCCTGCTGTGAGTGAGTGTGACTCTAATTCCAGGGTCTCCTCACTTTCATTCCCACACGAAACCCTACTGAGGGTCTCCTCCTTTTCCCTCTGAAGAGTACTGGGGTCCTGCCAGCCCTGAAGCAGGATGTCGACAGGGAGAGGGTTGAGATGTGGCCCTGGGCTCGCCCTGGCCAGCAGGCATTTCTGACCTCAGTGGATGGGTGAGTGCCAGCTCTTACTACACTTCAAGACATGCCAGACGCCTCCCATGGGTTTGTTTTGCCAGCTTATTTATCCTCACAGGGTTTCTAAGTGAAGATTTTAGAGGGCTGCCACGTCAGCACATTGACCTAAGGAAAGCCATTCAGAGTCCGGCAGAAGATGATGGAACCCTGCAGAGATGGGGTCGGGGGCTGGGGCCAGGGCTGGCTGCATCTTTCAGGCCTGGGACAGGGCCTCACGTATGTGCATCAAAGTTGGCCACAGACACGTCTGTCCCCTCCAAGCACTGCCCGGATGGACAAGGTGTGGTGGACGAGTTCACTTCCTGATCCCGGGCACGAAGGGACTGCCACCTCCCCTCGGCGCACACCCAGCCCCCAGCTGGGGACCCCCACCGTGTGCAGACCGGTGCAAAGGGGTGGTGGGCACTCACGCAGCGGGGGCGGCACGCGGCAGGCCGAGGGCGGAGACCCCGGTGGAGACGGTGCTGGCGGTGGCTGGTTGCGAGGGCAGCAGGGCGCGGAGCAGCGCTGCAGGCGCGGGGCCTGGGCGGGCAGCGCGGGGCGAGGGACCCGGGCCAGGCGGAGGTGGAGGCGGCGGCGGCGGGAAGAAGTCGGGCCCTGCGGCGAGCGCCGGAGGGCTGAGCGGCGGGGGTGGCGGCGGGAGCGCGCCCCACTCGGGCTCAGAGGTCGGCGGGGACGCGGGCGCCGGGGACCGGGGCGCGCTGGGGCTCAGGCTCTGGGCGGCGATGAACTGCTTGGGGCGCGCGTAGCTGAAGGAGCTGGAGGCCTGCATGGCGGGCGCGGGGCGGGCAGCCAGCGCGCTCATGGGCTCCGCGCGCGACTCCGGGGGCTCCGGGGACGCGGGCGGCGAGGGGCGCGCGCGGGCCTCGCGCTCCCGGCGGATCTGCTGCTGCAGCTGCTGGATCCTGAGCGCGTCCCTGCGGGGAGAAAAGGACACCTTCAGATGTGCGGCGGGGACCGCGCCCCCCAGGAGCCCGAGGGCCACCGAGGACACAGCTGATCAGCGTCTCACCGGACTCAGACCTGAGGCTAGGCGAGCCGGCTAACAGATCCCAGGGGACGCTGTCTGACCCTGGGAGCCACAGCATTGCATTTTAACAGAACCAGAATCTCTTAAGTGGAAAACTTCTAACCTGAGCTCTCACCCTCTCATCTGGGGCCAACGTTTTGGGAAAAATTTATCACAATGGGAAAGTTAAAAGAAACACCCGATTTAACTTATTTTTGGCAGATTTACCTGAATCCAATTTGCCTACCTCATTGCTGTCAACTCTAATCAATAAATACCACAGGCTGGTCTGGGGGTGGGTTGGGGTGGGGGGAGACCCACTTTGATTTCTGCCTTTGCTCCCTAAAAAACACATGCAAAGTTTATTCTACCCCAATTTTGAAACTGCCAACTATTTATACAAACCTTAATACATACTGACATTTGGCATCACATCTGAAACATACATATAACACCCATCGTTCACGTGCAGGGGTTCAATAAGCAGTAACAAATTATTAATTTTAAAATGTGCTGTGCTGTGTCTCTCAGTTGTGTCCAACTCTTTGTGACCCCATGGACTACAGCCCTCCAGGCTCCTCTGTCCATGGGATTCTCCAGGCAAGAATACTGGAGAACTCTTTGTAACCCCATGGACTACAGCCCTCCAGGCTCCTCTGTCCATGGGATTCTCCAGGCAAGAATACTGGAGAACTCTTTGTGACCCCATGGACTACAGCCCTCCAGGCTCCTCTGTCCATGGGATTCTCCAGGCAAGAATACTGGAGAACTCTTTGTGACCCCATGGACTACAGCCCTCCAGGCTCCTCTGTCCATGGGATTCTCCAGGCAAGAATACTGGAGAACTCTTTGTGACCCCATGGACTACAGCCCTCCAGGCTCCTCTGTCCATGGGATTCTCCAGGCAAGAATACTAGAGTAGGTTGCCATGCCCTCCTCCAGGGGATCTTCCCAACCCAGGGATCGAAGCCAGGTCTCCTGCATCGCAGGCAGATTCTACTGTCTGAGGCACCAGGGCAGCCCAAGAATACTGGAGTGGGTAGCCTATCCCTTCTCCAGCAGATTTTCCCAACCCAGGAATTGAACTGGTTTCTCCTGCATTGCAGGTGGATTCTTTACCAGCTGAGCTACCAGGGAAGCTCTCGTATTTTACAATAATGCAGCTTTAATTCCTCAAGTATTTAACACCAAGCAGAGAGTTTGGATTTTTGTTTGATAAAGAAGTCAGCAAGTAGCTAGCAATCAGCTAAAATCGTACTCTCATTTTACTCAAAAATCTTTCCTCTCGAGCTGAGTTTTTTACATCCAAGATGTTTTCCTTTATCCACACCAGTGACCGCGGCTGCCAGAAGAAGCGTCAACAGCAGGTGGCGCTCTAAGCGCAAGTAAAACAGGAACAGTCCACGGAGAGGCAGAGCTATGCTAAGTTGAAACCATTTAAAACTAAAAAGCAACCCTCCCATTGAAACTTGTATATTACCATATGTGAAATAGACCAGTCCAAGTTCAGTGCATGAAACAGGGCACTCAAAGCTGGTGCACTGGGACAACCCAGAGGGATGGAATGGGGAGGGAGGTGGGAGGGGGGTTCGGGATGGGGTGGGGCAACACATGTACACCGGTGGCTGATTCATGTCAGTGTATGGCAAGAACCACCACAATACTGTAATTAGCTTCCAATTATCATCAATTAATTAACCCCTCAAGCCTTCCTTAACTATAGGCATTAAATCTTCAAATTCAAAGTAATAAGAGGAACTGAAGCTCCTGATCAAAAGTTAAAGAAAAAGATTCAGATCTGTTATCAAGTGTCACTAGATACAATATCGGCTAAGGAATAGCTCAACTCCTTCTCACGAATCGATTCCCCACTATAATTTGGCAGTGAGGTGATTACAATGAAGCGCATGAAGACGCCTTCTCGTGAACTGAAAAGTGTAAGGAGAACGGGGCTGCACGCGAGAACCTGAGCGGAGCAGCCAGGCTCCCAGCAGCAGTGAACTCTGGGCGGTCCCAGTGGGATGGGCTGAGACTGGGACGCTCTGCTGCAGGACGTGCACCGGGACCCACCACTCCTCGAGTGACGAAGAACTGCAGGGTCTGATGACACCAGCGTGCCTGTGCACTGCGGCAGATTATGGACCACAAGAGACAAAGAGACCGAAAAGCCCAGCTGCCATTTCTGAAGAACCAGGAGCAAAAGCAGGTACTTCACATGCCCCCTGCACACAACACCACCAGAGGGACGGGCAAGCCACCTAAGCCACCCCTCTGGCCCAACTCCTGGTCACACCGCTACCCACACCCCACAGAAGGGAGCCGCTCAGACTCCCTCCGCTCCAGGAGTGAGCAAGCAAGGGCACCTGTTACTTGCTCTGGTTGCCCACCTGGCCCCTGGCCCTCTGCAACAGCAGGGGCCCCAATAAAAGCCTTGTATGAATTTCTTGTCTGGCCTCTGGTCGATTTCTATTGATTGGGGAAGGCCAAGAACACTGGTGCGCAACACTACAGAGCTTAGTTCCAATGCTTTAAAAGCAGCCACGCTGCTTCTGGGATACACTGGATGCTGAAGTTCATCACAGAAGTCTGTGTGGTTTGGGTAGACTGAACTGACCCAGGAATGGGACTCATGAACATCACCCACCAATGACTTTCTGACTCCCCAGATGCTCCTTTCTGACCTCCCTGCCTTTACTTTCTTCTTAATTCCTACCCACCGGAAGATGCGTCCTACCCCTGGACCGTCTATCCCCCCACCATCCAGCTGATCTGCTCCAGGACTGGGAGTGATCCGTGGGCCCGTGGAAGGCACTGCCCCTCCTCTAGGCCAGCCGGGCTCATGACAGCCAGGGCTTCAGCTCGCTCTGAAGCTATTTCCAGCCTGGCTGTGTGAAGCTGCCCTGGCACATGGCTCTAGACATCATGCTGTCTCTGTGTCTGTGTGGGGACTCCCCTGCCCCAGGTCAGGGATGGCACCTGACAAGCCAGGCTTTTCAAGGAAGCCGGCCAAGGAAGCTCAGACCATCACGATGCTGGTTCTAATGCTGTCCATGGGCTCAAGCCTCCTCATCCAGGCATTAAAAGCCCCACCACATTTGCTAACTTGCAAGGGCTTAAAACTGTGAGACGCTACTGTTAGCAGTAAGTGCCAGTTCAAGAAGCTAGTGCAGTTTCTGTTCATTTCACAAGTGAGCAGGCATCCTGGTGATCCGTTCCTAGAACACCCTGCATGAAGAACCGGGCCACGTCTTCCACTCCCCACTTTGTGCAGGTGAGGCTGTAACAGGCAGGGCACAGCAGGGCTGGGGGAAGAGAGCTGAACAATTATTTTGAATCTGAACATTTCTGACTTGGTTTCTGTGCAAATTCTAATATTAAAAAAAAAAACTGAATTAAATGATTCTCACACCTGGATTCTGAGATGACGAAATGCATGAATCTAAGTCACTTTCTCAGTTCCCAAGTTATTTTTATAAAACTAGACTTTCACAGAGAGACAAAAAAGCAGATGAAATGAAAGGTCCCAGAAAGGCAAGCTTGCCTGTGGCTTCAGGAAATTACCCAGTTATTTGTCACATTCACATCAGTCTTAGAGATGCTTTCCTGGATCTGACTCCAAAGCAAGGGGGGAAAAAAGCAAATATAAACAAGTGGGACTACATCAATCTAAAAAGTTTATGTACAGCAAAGGAGATACCATCAAGACAAAAAGGTAACATACTGAGTGGGGGAAGATAGTTGTGAACTGTATACCCTGTGAAAGTGAAAATCCCTAAGTCCTGTCTGACTCTTTGCGACCCCATGGATTATACAGTCCATGGAATTCTCTAGGCCAGAATACTGGAGTGGGTAGCCTTTCCCTTCTCCGGGGGATCTTCCCAACCCAGAGATCTAATCCAGGTCTCCTGCATTGCAGGCGGTTTCTTTACCAGCTGTATATCCTGTAAGGAGTTAATATCCAAAATATATAAAGACTCATTCAACTCAACAACAAAAACACAAACAACCCAAACAACAACAAAAAAGGCAGAGGCACTGAATAGACATTTTTCCAAGGAAGATGTACAGATGCCAATAGGCACATGAAAAGATGCCCAACATGGCTAATCAGCAGGGAAATGCAAATCAAAACCACAGTGAGGTGTCACCTCCCCCGTGAGAATGGCCATTATCAGAAAGGCAAGAAATAACAGATGTTGGAAAAGGTGGCAAGAAGAGGAAATTTCTACTGCCTAGCACAGGGAACTCTGCTTGAGATTTTGCAGTGACCTAAATGAGAAAAAGAATCTGAAAAATATTAATAGAAAAAAATTTAAAAAAAATTTCTGCTAGCAGGAATGGAAACTGGGGTAGCCACTATGGAAAACAGTATTGAGGTTCCTCAAGAAACCGAAAATATAATCACTATAGTATGATCCAACAACTCCACCTCTTATGTATCTGAAGAAAATGAAAACACTAATTCGAAAAGATAGACGCACCCCATTGTTCATAGCAGCACATTTACAATAGCCAAGATATAAAGTGAACCTAAGCGTGCACTGAGAGATGAGTGGATGCAGAACGTGTGGTGTGTACATACAGTGTGCACGTATCGGGGTGCTACTCAGCCATAAAAGCAGAGAGACAACGCGGACGGCCCCGGAGGCTACTGTGCTAATGAATGAAGTAAGCCGGAGAAAGACATGTGCCATGTGACTGTCACTCCTACGTGGACTCTATACAAAGTACACAGGCGAAGACAGCAGTCTAGCTGCTACCGGAGGGATGCGGTTTGGGGGGGTGAGCGGGTGCGGGGCCAAGTGTGACGCGCAGTGGGGCCCACTGCAGTGTGGGACACGGCACCATCATGCTCTGCACCCGAGACCCACATAAGAAAAGGAAGCACTCGGCATTTGTAAAACTCCT